TAGGGATCTTCCAGGGGGAAAGGCAATAGAAAAATTATAGTCCTGTCGGGTTTTTCCACGGGGGGTGGGGGGGGGGGGGGGGGTACAGGAGAGGATGCAACCACAACATACATATATGATGGTCTGTAAAGAGAGTCTCCTCCATCCGCCCCCGGGACTAAGGCCGGTGTACGGTTAACCCCCACCCACCCCCACCCCCACGGTACGGACGGCAATGTGAAAGAAGGATGAGGGCAAGCGCACTGAGGGCTGAAAACTTGCGGGGCGAAAATCTGCACGAAGCGGTTTTGCATGATTCGGTCATCCACTCTACCGCTTCCGCTCACACATTTCTCAAAGGTTGGGTTTGTTCCCTCCTCACGGTCCAAACACGACTCTCCTTACCCTTACACAACCCACCGTTCCATGCGGGACACTGCTCAGCACTTCCGGCGCGGCGTACTCCGCCGTCACGTAAGGCTCCGCAACCAGCAGCCCCCTCTTGCCCCTCCTCCTCCCGTCAGAGCCTTCCCGCGGCAAGCTCCGCGCGAAGTCGAAGCCGGTCAGCTTAATGGTTGCGTTTTCGTCCCGGGACGTCAGCAGCAGCTGCTCGGGGCGAAGGTCGCGGTGCACGACGCCCATGTCATGGCAGTGCTGGACACAGAGGACCAGGGTGCGGCACAGATGTCTCGCGTCGCTCTCGCGGAAGCGCGTCTGCGGGAAAAGTTAAAAGCCAGCAGCGAAAGGGCGAGGGCAGAATCGATGAGGAGAGAAGAGGTCAGCCACGAAACTGGATGGATACGAGGACAAGAGAAAAAAGTGGAGGCGCTCGGACCACGGAAGGTCAACCGTGATCACAACACAATGGCCGCACCAAGAAAGGAAGCTCAAAGAGCATGCAATTGAGGCCGCGTGATTGTATTGCTACTGGAAGAAAGAGAAAGAGCTCGGGATGGGGAATTGGTCTTGCATCGCACACTTGCCATTTACCGGGTTGAATTGGCCCTTTCTCGGCGGAATGATCGGAAGCGTACTTTTGTCTCAAAAATGGAGGTTGACGGGGCGGTGGTGCAACGGATTCCGCAGCCACACCGACACGTTGCACAAAAGCTACGTATATACGATAGCTTTACCCACCTTCGTCACGATGCGGTCAAACACTGGACCGCCTGCCAGATGCTCCAACACCAAGTAAAAGTAATCGGGCGCGTCGCTGAAGACCTCATGCACGGTAACCACGCTCGGGTGCGTCAGCAGGCGCAATATCCGGGCCTTCAGAGCGAACAACCAACGACGGAATGGGAACGGAAAAACGGCAAACAAACAGCCCAGTGGTCCCGACATCAGCGAGATTACTTCGGCTATACCCGTGAGCTTGGGGTGCAGCGGGGGCTTCGGGTTTCTTGCGTCGTGTCCATGCAAGCCGATTCAACACAACATGCTCGAGAGTATGTGTGATATCTGGAGCAGGCACGCCAAACGGCATTTTCCACGACAGCCAACTACAGGCAGCCAGGAGGAAACACAATGCACAAAAGCAAAAACAAAAGGGCAGCTCTAAATGTACTGCTGCTGCTGCGTGACCTTCAGGCGGTGGCCTTGCTCTTGTGTGACCCTGGCTCCCTACAGCTGATTCGTCCAGAAAACGTATGTACCGAACGCAAGGTGTAACATTGACGTCTAGAATAATCAGGACGAAGTACACATGCATATATCAGTTTAAAATAATCTAAAACAATCAAAATAAAGCTTCTCGTGGACTCACCTCCTCAACCAAGCCGTGCATGACCTCGTGCGACGCCCCCCGTTGCACAGCCCGCTTGACGATACACGAGCCCTGCGACCCCTTCCGCTGCCCTCGTCGGATCGCTCCGAATGTCTCCGCGAACGCCCCCTCCCCGAGCTTCTTGCCAAGCGCGTACAATCGAGAAAACTCTGACGAGCCGGGCTGCTCGCCTCTGTTCTGCTCCGTGCCGCGCCTCGCCCCTTCCGCAGGCGAGCCTTTCCAGTGTCCCCGTTTCTCCTCTCCCTCCCTCTTTCGCGGTTCCACCGTTGTCTGCGGCGCTTGTTCTGTCCGTTGCGGCTTGATCCACTTACTATCTTGTTGCCCCTTTCCCTCCCTCTTTTGCGGTCCAACCCTTGTCGTCTGCGGCGCTTGTTCTGTCTGTTGCGGCTTGATCCACGTGTTGTCCAGTCTCTTCAGCTGCTGCGGCCCAACCGACGCCTGCGGGTCCTCCTCCTTCTGCGGGCTTCGGGCCTGTTCCTCCTCTCTCCGCCCGCTGCGCTGCGACGGCTCCTCCTTCTTTTGGATCGGCTTCTCCCCCTTTTGCTGCACCGGCGGCGGCGAGTCTCTCCTATTTCGTTCTTCTTGTTGCGTTTTTTCCTCGTCCCCGCCACCGTCGTCGTCTTCTGCCTCCGCCGCCCACGACTTCTCGAAGAGCTCCTCCTCCTCCAGCGTCACGAGCCTGTCCAAGACCGTGCCCACCGCCCCGTGCCCGAGCCGAGCCTTGCACAGGATGACCAGCCCGTGCCGACACCACGCCCTGTCGGACGAGGTCGTCCCCAGCAGCTGCAGCAGAGACTCCTGCGCGCGTTGCTTGGCTCCCCCGCCGCCCTGCCCGCTGCGCCGCGCCTTGGCGTGGTGCTTCGGGGTATGGCCCTCGTCGTCGACCGCCGTGTCGTCCGCCCCCCAGAGGAGCAGCAGCTCCGCGGCCTCGGTGGTGTGGGTGTCGTCTACGGCGCAAGCCCGGTGGAGCGGCGTGCGGCCGGCGCTGTCGGCGGCGTCGATGTCCGCCCCGTGCCTCAGGAGGGCGACGATAGCCTCACCGTGTCCCTCGATGCTCGCCCAGTGGAGCGCCGACATGCCGTCGACGTCGACCGAGTCGACGCTGGCCCCGTGCTCCACCAGGACGTCGATGGACTTGGTCTTGCCCAGCATCGCCGCGTGCTGCAGGGCGGTCGCGCCGCCGCTGTCGGTGGCTTCCACGTCCGCCCCGCGGGCGATCAGGGCCCGCAGTATCCCCAGGTGCTCCTTGCGAGCGGCCGACTTCACCAGGGCGCTCATTCCGTTGGGGCCGTTGGGTGTTATGCAGGCCGCGTCTCCGGCGTCGCCGTCCAGCAGGACGCGCACTACGGGCAGGTGCCCTTCCTGCGTGGCAAGGAGCAGCGGGGACCTGCCGCTGCCGTCGAGAGACGCCGCGTCCGCCCCCTCGCTCAACAGCTTGGACACGGCGTCCGCCTCGCCTCGCCTCACTGCGCTGTGGAGATCAGCGGGGCACGCCCTACTCACGGCCCCGCTGCTGCAACTGCTGCTGCTGCCCGGGTGCTCCTTGGTGTTTTGGCCCGCTACCGCGCCAGCGCCCAGGAACAGCTCTGCCGCCCCGGCGAAGTGGCTGGTGGCGATCGAGCGGCCCTTGTTGTACGCGTCCAGGAGGTCAGACGACGGCGATGCGATGCCCGCCTTCCCCATGACTGCTGCTGTTGTCGTCGGCGCACCCTCCTCCTCCAAAAGCTTGCTTATATATCTACTGCGGGCGTTCTTAAGCTTGCTTATATATCTACTGCGGGCGTTCTTCGGACCACTCACCCCTCTCTCGCATTCTGAATCTTTTCCAGCTCTCCTTCCTGCCGTTGTCACACAAAACCACCGGCAAAGCGGTGGTGGTTAGCCTCAGACAAAACCAGCGAGAGCTGCACAACCCTGGTGAGCGGAGGCGGCGAGGACAACGCTGGCACGCACGTTGCCTGTAAGCATACATCCGTGCATGGCTCACAGTTGGGGGCGCGCAGCTATGTGGGGGCGAGGGCACCAAACGTATGTGTACATAGGAGACGACGCGTGTGGCCTTCGACGCGTGAGTCGGCAAAGTGCGGTAGCCAGATTAAGAACACGAGAAATGGCAATCACAAGGAGTTCACCATCATGGCTCGTGGCTTAGCCTGTTGCTCGCTTGTGCAGTCGCAACGATGTGGTCATGAAGAATCTCATCCATGGTCACTCACACAGCGAGCGGTGCGCTCCCGCAAGCCCCCATCATCACCCATGCCTTTGCTTTACAAGACGCAACCACCAACGCGCCGAAAAAACGCAACAAAAATATATGCCTGTCCATCTCCACAGAGCCAAGGAGCACGACCCGGCCCGACCACAAAACTCTCCGCGTCAACTTCAAAACCCATCTCGATTGAAACTCACAGCGGTTTGTAGGATGCTTCACACGCGGATGCTCTCCCAATTGACGGGTATGGGCGTCTAGCGTGTTGTGGTGCGTGAGAGTGCCCCGAAGCAGAGACATCAGCAGTGACGAGGAGAGAGGGAGAGAGAGAGAAGTTTTTTTTTTTTCCTGCAACCTGTTGGTCCCCACGTCTCCAACTGCTTGCTGTGTGTCAAAAAATACTTGTCCTGTGACTGCCTGTTGTCAGGGGGATTCAGAAGATCCAGAAGCCAGACCTGTGTACGGCGGGTAGCGGAGTAGTGCCGTTGGATATGACACCGTAGATAGAGTAATAATCACCCCCGTGCTATGCACTAGAGTTGTGGCGTGTTGGCCTGCTGGCACATACCGTTCACCGTTCACACATATAAGAACCCCGGCTCCTTGTTGCTGTGGTTCGTTGGGAGTTGGTTTGTGTCGTCGCATCTGCTGCTGTACTCGAATACTTTTTTTGTATAAAGAGGTAAAAAGGCTACGTACCAAATCTACAGTACTGCTGTAGACTAGAAGAGACGTTTTTGTGACGCGGTGTTCAGCAGTCCAATAACCTCCATATCTATCGTTGGGTCCCGCCTCAATTCGAACAAAAAGATTGGGTTTAGGATTTTTTTATTTTTATGCGCCGCTGGCGCGCAGACTTCGTACAAAAACACGCCTCGTCCAGAGGCCTTTTTAACTGGGCTACAGTATTACCGTGGCCAGAGGGTTGACGGAGAGGTGGAAAGCTCAGCTAGGGGACCGAGAACGACTGGCAAGAACGCCAAGGCTGCGTGGAGCAGGTATGTGGCTACTGATATTTCCCATTGTCTTTGCGTACAAGGGTGTTGGGCACTAACTTTGGGGCATCGCCGAAGTGGCCTTGGATGCTTGGATGGCCTTGGAAATCACGCCGCAGCGCGAGTCTCGCCGCGCACCATGCGGTGTTCATGGACAGCGCTCCTTGTCTCTGCCTCTCTGCGAGAAGGAGAGTTCCGCAGGATACGCATACGTTCACGCTTGATTGTGATAGTCGGCACTGATAATTGTGGGTGGGTTCGCATATTCGGGAGCACACCACCTGCTTGTTCGTGTGTTGTGCGCTGCTGCCGTGTATAATGTGTCATGGTACGCGCGACAACTCAACTTGGCCCAGAGAGCACACCACTTAAAGTTTACGCACATCAGCAACACTTACAGCTTAGGGATAGGCCTCCCGGTCAAGTGTTTTGTGTGCACGTAGAAAAGAAGGATCCCTCTCGCCGGTTTCGCAGAGTTGTCTGCGTTCTACGTAGGCCGCGTTGCACATGTACGCCATGTCATGTGATGTTGCAGGTTGGAAACACTCCGCAAGCCGCTGCTGTCTTGCCGGTTACCGTAGGTGACACAAGATACCACACCCCCTGACTCTGTTTTCAGAGCTCGATTTCTCCATGACAAAATGACGGCAAGGCCGAAAATGGCGGCGTTGAAGCCGCCTGGCCAAGAGATTTTTGAGAACGTGTCGTTTGATTTCTGCGTCCTCTTCGTCGTGGAGTGATTGAGCTTTGACAATCGGTCCAGGGGGTGTGGTATCTTGTGTCACCTACGGTAGGATTAGGCCCGAAGAGTGCCGCCGTGCGCCCGTACCCTGTAGTGTACGGTACATATTACTTTCGCCTGTTGGGCGTGCTGCGTGTGCGTAACTGCTTAGTGCTCTGAATATGGCCGCAGGCTCAAATATGTAACATGTGCCGGAGGATCCCGTTAACCGCTGTGGTAAAAATAGCACGCGTTGCAGCGGTAGCGCAAGACACCACACCCCCTTGAACGAATAATTGTAGCAGCCAACCGAATATCTTGCACGTGCGATACCGATGGTAGCAGTAAAGGGTGAATCGAAACCCTACACAACGAAACGTCCTTGCTTTCTACTTGTAGGTTCAAGTTGTACTCCTTCCCCTACGGCCCAGACACAAACAACGTGCGTTGGGTAGAGGACGATGACCATGGTAGTTAAGTAAACACCAACAGTACTTGGATCGGAATAGCCATGAGGGGATCCATGAGTCTCTTATCCCAGCGCAAAGCTCGTTCCGTGATATCGCCCCTCCCCAACCCAACAGACAAATTGGTTCATTGCATAAACACGTTGAGGACGCAGTTTATCTTTGATGCCCTTGTACCTTTTGTCCGTCCCGGAGCTTCATTTTCCCCTACAAAGTTCGTTCACCCCCCGGGGCATTCGCAAAGGCAAACTGAGGTTTTCGTTGGGTCTCTCTCTGGTGACATTCAACCGGCGAACTTCAGCTTTGTTTTATCTGTTGTTTTTTTCCCCATAAAAACAGCTAACTCGAAGACTTCGTTCTCTCCCCGACGCAATATGTATCTCGTTCCAATGTCCTTGTCACAGCTGAACGGTGGAGTCCACGTGGTGACCCAGGGAGGGTTTTCTTAACGGGGTGCAGCCGCGTTTGGCTGTTCTACTGGTACAAGTTACCACGAATTGTTTCGGCCTTGTGCGCCTGCACCTTCACACAAACCATGTGCGGCGTGTGTGGTGTGTGTGTTTCATTGTTGTTGGGTTGATGGACTAGGTCATGGACAGGTAGGTGTATGTCATTTTTTTAGCGGGGCGGGAGGTGGTGCTGTTTTTTTGGCAGCACTGGCGACGACGTCGACTGCAAGATGGCACAATACAAAGTGGCCCAAGCTTACACTAGTAACCTGAATTTTGGGAAATGCACCATCGAACAACGTAGATGATATTTTGCGTTGAAAACCAAGAGGAACTTCTACTTTGTCGACCGCCAGTCGCAAACGTATCGCGCTCAGCTTAGGTCTGGCCATCATGTGCACGCAGGCACACAAGGAACAACGGGGTGTCCTGCTGTGCCGTTGTTATCCAGCACAACACAATTTCAAACGTCGGGCGTCTCTCCGAGACATCATCACGGACCACCAAGCAAGACGTCAGCACGGACAGGGGTATCGCTGGTAGTGGCCATGGGAGGCAAACACGCAGACATTTCCATTCAGGTTCAAGAGCATATACTTCTGACACTCGCTTACATTTGGGCTATTGCTATGCAACTTTCACACAAGCGCACCTACAATTCTAGAGAGCACCGTCAGGCAAGGAAAAGCAAATCGCAGGCTTGCGGCCTTCTTCGCCAACCTGCTCTGTCTCCCACATAAACCACGCCTCAGTAGAGCTACATCCTCTTCCGCGGTACGTAGCGCGGGGGAGCATCACCACCCTGTCAGGCGCATTTTCCTTTAGCCACCGCCCTCTGGTTTTGGTGGGCTCCAGAAAAGTCAACCTCAGCTTAAAGGCTACTCCCATACGCCCGACCCGCATCGCCTGCTTCAAAATGGCGAAGGCGTGCTTTTAGGGTGGGCTCGTCACGACCCAGTCCGGACGCACCCTTCCCTCGACGTACGCCTTGACAAACGCGTCTGTGGCGGCGTCCAGGTGCGTATCTGCGACCAATCTGCGGGTAGGGAGGTACACAAAAAAAAAAGCGCCGCGAACGGGTTAAGTTAACCCTTTTGAGTCTTCAGGCGTTCTCACTGATCATTGATTGATCATTTGCAAATGCTGGTGTAGTGGCAAGTCGTGGAGTTGCCGCCCTGCAGCCCTTCGCGCCGTGTATTGGCAAGTCCATAGGTAGGTGTATCTAGATTATTAGCACCCGCGCTAACCGGCTGACCAATGAAGAGACGTCGGTGACAGCGGGTAATATCAAGGTCTCGGGAATGGGAATGGGGCCAATCAATGCCAAATCATGAATCTCTCAATGTATGCACATGTCAATGAACGCGTGTGTGCATACAGTACATACATACATACATATGTGTTCTTTCGCAGCACCACACATACACTCGCCCGAACGTAGGAAGCCACTGCTGCAAAGAGCAGAGGACAGCCAAAGGGAGGGGTATTGCAGTCCCTGCCGAAGGCCAGATATCGAGGATATCGTGGTTCCCAACAATTTGAAAATCGTTCCCAAGATCCAGCAGTCATTGTGTCAACAGCTACAACGAACGCTACAACAACACTACTACTACTGCTGTAGACGAGTAAAACATATCAGCAACACATCCACACTCGTAGCGCCACACATACCACCCTCGCCCGAACCTAGGAAACCACGAGGTACAGGTGTGTGCTGGTGGATGTGCTTGTTGTTTGAAAAACACAGGAGCTCTAGAGAGTTGGCAGGGCAAATTTCGGGGGGGGACAGAGAACAGAGAAGTACAGAAGTACAAATACCAGCTATGGGTCTTCACTGATCATTTTGCCCTCTCTGGACTGATCATTTACAATATACCGAAAATAGACTAGTTGAGGCAGCTAGACGACTGATCATTTCAAAGGCTACACAGCTAACCTGCCCTACTGACCGCAGCGCGACCACCCACCAACCCTTCTACGACCCTGTCTGTGGCCACCACCCTGTCGCCGGCTTCTCTCATGGCCTACAGGTGGAGATAGCTGTTGCGTGTGCAGAAGTACACTGGTGTCTTTCTCTGCACTTCTCTCTCTCCCGCTCGCTCTCGCTCTCATTTTTTTTTTTGCAAAAAAAAAACTGACAGTCCAGCCTAGACCCAAAGGGGTTAAAAATTGGACGTGAACACTGAACATTTGCCACTTTTGAATAGTGGCCAGTTTCATGGATGGGGACTTTTCAGCACTGCCGTATGTGTCTTTGAGCATAGCCTACCGACTATACGCTAACACCTCGAATTCAGTGCTTGGTTGTACCGAAGCCGACCTGAGACACACACATACGTCGGGTTCATGTCGTTTGTTGCAACACGGAGACCGTGTGAACTCAGGACGGTGGAGACTGCGTCTTGGGCGGCACCACAGCAATCGAGTACCCTGCCTTCCAGTTCCACATGTTCCAGAAGGGCTCGAACCTGAAAATCGCGAATGCAACGTGGTGGAAACTTCATCTGTTATTCTTACTACTGTAGATGGTAGGTGCTATCTGGCAGAGGGAGTGTGCGGGCAGCGGAAAAAAAAATGAGCGGCGCTCTACAGCAGTACATATACTTCTTCCGATGTCTTCGGGTGGTAGGTGCAATCTGGCAGAGGGAGTGTGCGGGCAGCGGAAAAAAAAAATGAGCGGCGCTCTACAGCAGTACATATACTTCTCCCGTTGTCTTCGGATGGTAGGTGGTTTTTGGGCAGAGGGAGTGTGCGGGCAGCGGAAAAAAAAATTGAGCAGTGCTATACAGCAGTACATATTCTTCTTCCGATGTCTTCGGGGGAGCGGTTGAGGCTCTTCTCACAACACGGAGAGAACCTCAAGGAGAACGACGCAGAACGGTATATTCCTCGTACTTACCATTGAGCTAACGTGAGAAACAGCAACTAAGGCTAACCGAACAACTGTCACTCAATAAGGAGCAGGGCGAGGGAGACATGTGATCAGAGATGGGTCGGGCACCGCCCGGTACCATGCCATTAACAAACGGCACATGGCGACGGTCGAGATCCCAGAAATAAGGAGAGGCAGAACGCACACACCAAACTTGAAATAGGGTTGTTTCTACGTGTGGTGTCTTTGCGCGGTCTATAATGTGGAGACGACCTACCTTAAGGATGCGAGAGAATGCACGGCTGTGTTAGCGCGGCGATGAGGTTGCGAACACCTACCTACCTCTCAGGCAAGCCCTGACGTGATTTTTTCAAAACTACCCTTGTCGGCAGTGGTATCCTCCTCGTCGTGGAGAAATCACGCTACGATAAATGCTGACACCCCCGTGTCCTTACCGTACACTGCTGTAGACAGAGGTGGTGTATCTGAGGCATCATACCTGAGAGCCCGTCGAGGGATACCGGCCCATCGGCGACCGCTGTCCGACCTCCATTTTGTGCAAAGGTTCTTTTTCTTCCCTCTGGCGCCTCCACACGTACTTCTTGTACAAACCAAGTACGCAGTCCGTGCGGGAACAGATGCACTCACCCACCCGGAGAGGGTTCTGTTGAAGATCGCGATCGTGACGCCAGCCTGACCCAACACTCGCAGACCACTTCACCCAGCAGCGCCCATGTTTGCGAGTCCCCCACGTGTTGCCACCTTGTCGAGCACCCGTCGCGGCTACCCAGACGGTCACACGCGAAGCACCGCCGAAGCTCCCCTTCTGCTGCTGCTTCTTTGCCGTGCACGCCTTTGCCGCACGAGGCGCGGAAACCACGGACCATGCTGCAGAAAACCGTTGAAAATGGCGGTATACAGCTGCTCGTCAAATCGTCGATTTTGGCATCCACAGAGAGAGATCGACAATAATATTACAGCCGTACAAAGCACAACACCTCAGCTACACAACGCACCCTCTGAGAGCCGAAGATTCGATGCTGGGCACTAACCTGGGCTTGGTGATGCGGCTGCTGGACCGAGTTGCTCCGCGTATAGGAGCCCTGACGCGAGGCAGATTCGGTTCTTCGCACAGAAAGCTGCCAAACGCCCAAAACTTGCACCGAAAGCTCTCCCACAAGTAGCACAGCAGTATACCGAGGTTCAGTTCTGTCTGGTGCCCACGACGAGGCTCCTACGGCTCTGTGAACATGCAGCCTGCTGTGGCCTGCCCGGGGGGGGGTTATAGGGGGGTCGCAAAAATCGAGGGGGTACCATCTGCGAATGCCCGCCGTACTTTCTCAGCCGCCCTGATCGTCCATACACCGGGCCTCGTGAATCGATTCACCTCGTTTCTTCTCCTATACCCTACAACAGTTCATCTTCTAGCGGATCGCTCTTTCTTCGACGCCACCCGGCTGGTGGCCATCCCGTGGTGGAAAAGGAAGTGTCCAAGAAAAAAAAAAAAAATCCTAAACCCAATAACACTGCGAAAGAAGGTTGCTGTGCTGTTAGTGCCCATTGTTTCGTGCATGGTACCGCCGCAGGAGGCGCCGCGCAGCTACGTTACTCTCCTCCTTTACGCCGTTTCTGGGCTGGTCCGCCGCAGTCACGAGAGTCACGGCTACACTTTGCGTTCAAATTACCACTTCGTACGTATGTTCTGTACGGTATCTACGTACAGCAGTAGACGTGTAACAACTGGGACCGACCCGTGGAGCTAATATCCTGGCATTATATCAGTCGAAGTCGTCTCTCCCGCTGACTCGAACGCGATCGGGCGTTCGGGCGGTTCGAGCGCCTTTTTTTCTCGAGACTGTCACAAAATTGCGCCGTGTCCCCTGTGAAGGTTACATTTTACAATTGTACACGACACAACGGAGGGATTCTCCCCGATATTTTGTCGTTGACCCAGTACAATTGTAGAGAACTATAGGGGATGTATTGTAAAATGTAACTATAGGGGATGTATTGTAAAATGTAAAATGTAAGTTACCTATACAGATGTGTTTGTACTTAGCACCAGCTGGCATCACTGGTATAAATCATCAGTGTATAGACTTAAAAAGACTCGAAATAAGTCCAGTACCCAGCCGGTTTCCTCCACTCACTGAAAAGACTCCACCACATCCCGTTCGACTGCTGTGGGTATATCTCGAATGGGTAGTCTTTCTGTGTGTGTTTTTATGATTCCTTAATTAAAAATTGCATTTGGTTCCGAATCTTTCCTGAACACTACTGTTGTGACGGTTAGAACCTACATGTGGAACCAGTAAACCTCCCGAAGCCCCTGATCTGGTCCGGACGCACCGGCATACCGGCATCCCTCTCTCGTGTCCATCGACCAGATGCCTGAGGACCTACCTTCCTACCGATATGTCTGTCGGCATTTTGGGTGACCCAAATCTGATGCTCTTGCACTCAGATGGCGGCCGAGGCAATCGGCGGTACTCTGACGTGGATATCTTCCCACAGGAGGTCGTGCTCTCTCTCTTGTTGTTGTTGTTGTTGTTGTTATGGATCGTGGGGGCGGTATCGTTGTCTGTAGTCATACCTTTCCTGTTGCAGATTAATTCAAGCACAAGGCGCTGCTGTCCGACTCACCGTCTATTTTCGCCGGCATTCCATGCGAGATGGCCCCAAACCTTTGGAAGATGGCTCCAAATCTTGTCCACAGCACTCTGCTGTGTAACAGGTACACGAGCTGCACCAAACCTGCATAAAATCAAGGTGGACCCTACAGCCGCACTATGGTTCCCTTCCACCCAGCTCAGTGCAGCATGTGGTATCATCAACATCGATGGGCTTGGTCCGCTCGATGGTGACTATTCATTGCTCCATGACATGAATTCTACCGAGAACAGACCGACCTGGATCGGGACGTCGGCTAACATTCAGCATCTAATACTGTCCTTCCAGCCGGTGGTGGGCGGTTGGGCGATCGGGTCTGCCAGTTGGAGCCGGGCATTCCTGCCGGTGGACTCGAAAATGCCTCCTACGCAGAGTTCACGGTGGCAAGTTTTTAACGACGAATTGTCTTCTTTCGAGGGAACCGGCAAGATCGTCTCCATCTCTTGCCCAGGTAAGAAAAACTTAGAAGCCTAGACTAACGCCGGCTCTGCTGTACCACATGTTGTTTGCCCGACGTTGAGAAATTAACCCCTTGAACACCTGCTAGGATCCTGCTTTAATGTGTAGACATCGCGAGCTCTCGCTAGCTGGCAGTATTCGATGCAAGAGAGGAACAAGATAATCTAGCTTGTTCGACAGAACGACATCGGCTGGTATCGGCTATTTCGTGATTGGGGACCAACCCAACTTGTTCCAGGGTTGTTCGAAGTGGCTGCGTGTTTGTGGAGGGCCACCGATTGGTAGCGTTCCCATTTCGGTTGTTGGGTAGTGTCGAACGGATACTAGTGTATGCAACATTGTGAGGCAGGAACTGTTGCTCTGCTGGTCCGGTTGTGAACACCGCCCCACGAGGGTTTGTTTACGCTCACCTGCGAAAAGTCGATTACCTCACCTTAAAACTCCTCACAAGAATAGACGGCAACGGTCCATCTTTTGGGTCCATCTTTTGTGTTTGAGGGTGTATCGGGTACAGCCCACATCAGCCCTAAGCATCCAAAGTCTACTTTTGTGAAGGTGTTATCGATTGGTACGTAAAAATAGAGCTGGCAGCTAGCAATGCGAGCAAGCGGCTGGGCAGCAGAACTCATCGTCTCATGGTTTCATCAGGACGCTTTTTGTTGCTGTGCCTATATCAACAAAGAGTCGCGATACACCGAAAGACAATACGGCACTGGGACCTGGAAGTAGCCCTGGAACTCGCTGGGTTCAATCGATTTTAGTCGACCGGTCGCGCAAGCTAATTCTCTACCAAACCTGAATCTCGATTATCAAGTTGTTGGGTTTTCGGTGAGGCACCTCTTCAACATGTACTGGCCGTGATATTTGGAGCGTTTGCTGCTCTGGTATCTATAGGATATACAAGGAGATTTCGAGACACAGCGACCAAACGTCCATCAAGTGCGCTAGAGGTATGACGGTTCGTGCGTTTTGGTTTTGAATATACGGTGTTGATGGTCTCCCAAAGGAGAATACTATTGACTTGTTTGTTCAACACGCCTTCGTTCGCACCGTTCGTTCAGCTTGTACGGCATTGGCCATTTCGACGCTCCCAGACGCTTTCGCTGCGTGCGATGGACCGTACCGCGTTCGAGCCGTGAACAGTGAAAATGGAGTAGTCGCTTGGGTACACGTCAGCGATGAGCGGTGCACAATGCTGCACGACCACGCCGGAAGCTCTCTCCTAGCGATAGACGGTTCAATCGAAGTCGGGAAAGCTTCGTCTTTTGGAGGTGCAGCAGTTAGCGACCCTCTGTACAAGGAATGGTGGACAGAGATCACGAGAAACGTGAGCACACTTCAGTATCTTGGAGTGGACGCTGGCGTGGTGTGCACAGCTGCAAGCCAAACTACACGCTTGGTTTTCGATTTGACGAAGACGGGGCAGACGACTACGCCATGTAATGACACAAACAACGCCGACACAAAAGCTGAGGCAACCGCATGTACCAGTGCAAGATTCAAGCTTTCGTCCCAGCAGAACGGATCCATCATCAGTTCGACTTCGAGTACTGTCCACCTTCAGATCGACGACGCTGCAGGACTGATGCAGAGCGGTGCGATGTCCACCGGGGTGGCCGATCTTGGGCTCGCCGAAACAGCAGCAGATGATGGGGGCCCCGCAAGAGCTCTCCTTATCAAGGTTGTGGTAGACGGAGTTGAAGCGACGAAAATTTCACTGAAAGAGGCGAGCACTAAGGGGGTTCTGTTATCGTTCGACGATCTACAGGGGACGCATGCGTTCGAGATTTCCATGCTAGAAACCCAGGCCGGCAGTGAGGTTTGCCTGGCTGAGACTGCGATGATCCTGGAGATCTTCACAGCAGAACCGCACATAGTTACGGGCAGACCTTCCATAAGAAGAAAACTATCCCCAAGTTCCAGCGGCATCGTCACGCGCGAAGGCGGCCCCCAGGTAACTCGCGTCGTCTTCCTTGGAGATCTTGAAGTCCTGGATGGCTATAAGCTCAGCACGTTGCACCTGATGAAGAACTTACCGACGAACTTCCGGGCCTCCACGCTGGACCTTTCTTGTGCATGTGAGTGGCCTATTGAGGATGATTTCCCCCGTCGATATCTGTGTTATTGCCCTTAGCTTGAACGGTAGATACTCTGAGCAATTTGTTGGTCAAAGGCAGGAAACCGATGGTGACTTGTCAGGTTTACGGCGCTGACGTTGACTTCAAGAATACGATCTACTGTACATCTGAGTATCTGGGCCAGAAGCTCGTTCCTGGAGTAACCAAGTGCGGCGAAATGCCTGCATCAGCAATGCCTTTGAGGTCTGGAGCTAAACCTCATGTGTTTGACTGGATCATCATTTAACACACGTTCTGCACGCAGAGCGCTGTTGCTTTGTTTCTACTTCTTGGAGGGTGGGCAGGGGGTTTACGGTTACAGATGTGTTGGAAATCGAGAAGAGTTCCTGCGCAGTTGACATCTTCCCATCAGGACAGGAGGTGGACAACGCCGGATCCACAAACGGAACACATCGAGATATGTCATAACCGAGAACATTTGTCGTTTCCCATTCCCCCACACGATTGCGCCATGATTGCTCAATGGCACGCAGCTGGCGACCTACCTGTCAAGGATCTGTTCGACAAAGAGGGCATTGAAGTGTTCCATCTATGTATCGAGATACCGAACGAGGTGAGCATCCCTACTTTCGAGAACGAGGTCGTGGCACGTTGCTTGTGTGCATCTTATTAAGCACACGGATTGCATGTACCAGGTAGTTTGTTTGAAAATGCTAAACCATTGCTTCAAACGAACGCCACCGTCGTTCGGCTGTCGCCAAGACCGACGTACGAAAGTAAGTGCCTGCAATCACCGAAAACGTGTGTATCGATGTCCGACATTCGCTCCCGGCAAAAACGCTCAACATGTTCCTCTGTTATCCGTTGGAACCGTTTCGGAATCACCTCACACCGTAGGTGTGGAACTCGGTCCAAGCACAAGGTGTTACGATTTTTGCATTCCTTTATTCTGCCCTTGTCGGTGCTCCGACCTGGAACGATGTGGTTTCCGTTCATCCCGGAGTTGCGCTGGCGTTGAGCGACCTCTATCACCACCTAGTCAAGTTCGATGTCCTGGTCATGTCCAACGGGGGGAAGGACACCGACGCTTACGTGCTACAGATTGCCCGGCTGGCTGGAGTGCGCACCCGCATGGTAAATCTGGGCGCCATAGCGGGTGGCTACATGTCGCCCCTGTTTTCTGGAGCTACGACTCTTGTCGGGCCGTCGCACTACGTCGCACACAACCCGACCGTTATCCGGAACGCCGGGGGGTTGCCGATCAAGGTTTGCCATCCGGTAATGGATGCCGCACGGGTCCTCGAGGCTGCTCGTTCGTGCCATGCCACCCGCGTACAGATGCCGGATCAGCCCGAAACCCGCCCCGGTACCGGTGAGGGCGGGGCCGATGATGCTCTTGCTGGCGCGTTACCACCCGCAAGATTCATCATGGTGGGGCAAGTCTCGAGCGAGAAGACACCTGGCGTGTTCGTGCGTTCCATAGCAGTTCTTCAGAGGAGGTGGGTGGCAGGAGGACGACAAGGGATGAGGCAAGTCGAGGGAGTGATGGTTGGAAAAGGACCCATTCTACGGCAGATGGAAAAACTGGCACTGGACCTTCGTACAGGTGTTCGATTCACAGGAGCGCTGTCTATCGACAAGGTACCTTGCGAAGTTCAACTGGCAACCGCTCTTGTGTTACCTTCGATGTGCCCGGAGACGTTTGGGATGGTGGGACCCGAGGCCATGCTTCTTGGCGTGCCGCTGGTGACATTCGGTTTTGGTGGCTCAGGGGAGCTGGTGCGGCATATGGAAAACGGCCTCTTGGTGGCGGAGCCCACACCAAGGGCGCTTGCGGATGCCCTCGAGCTCTTAGCGCGAGACACCGCTTTGAGAGATCGCTTGGGGGCGGCCGCTCGACTGGATGCTCTCCGAGCACTCTCTATTCCGGAGATGGTGGCCTGCCATGTGAATGAGTTCTGACCCCTGATGATGAAGCGATATATCTAATCGTCTTCGCGATTGTAGGTAGTCGGGTCTTCGGACCCATTGCGTGTCTATGGTAAATTATTGCGGAGGTCTTCGGCTGTTTTCCGTATAGCATTTGAAGGGCGCGGTCTATACATTGATAAAGATGAGCTAACCAAATAGCGCTTGGCTCTATACATGCCTCAATGGTATATCTCTGTTGCCGCGACTGCCAACGGTACGTCACGGGGCGTTGGCACCATATTTATTCGAGAGAATACAACATTGACCCCCCCTTGTTCCTTACGATAGACGCTAGAGGTTGTCAAAATGATCACTCAGCGATGGCCCAAAAATTGAAACCTCCACGACTTCGTGGCCGTAATTCTGCGTGTTCATGAGGCATCTATTCTGAACGTGATCTTGAACGTGGATGCGTACATATCCTTTCGTAGGCCTACTGATGTTACCGTAGGAACATTTCTTTCATGTTTTTGATGAGTCTGTGCAATCCACAAATCATGAACAAATATATTGACGCCGTTGCGACGAAGTTGCTGTACTTAACGTGTGAAACTGCTTGGTTTGCCGTTGAGGTGACTTCCTGGGTGCAGATTCATCGCCACCTCTTCCTAGAAGTGCGCTGGAATCGCTGTTTCTTCTCGAAACGTCGTCGATTCTTGTATGTACCCATCATCGGCAAAGTGACGATTAGTTAGTCTAGACGAAGAACGGACGGGAAAATACAACGCCCGTGCCCTGACTTCCTCCGGGAGTGGTGAACGCCCCGACAGGAGCTCCAACTGTACATATCTCGTCAACCTGCGCTAAGGTTATTGTCCTTCTTTTATCGGCTCTGGTGGGGTAAGAGGGAAACCTGCCCCTAGCATGAGAGCAAACTGTTTATTCAAGGGAGCGAGTCTGCGGGATTGATTTGGATGGGTGATCGTGGTGTTGTTCATAGCCTCTCACAAAAAAACATATCCGTCTCAGTTCTGTCCTTTCAGCGGTCGCGTTTTGATGACCATCCCGCATTCATTCGGATGGTCGTCAAGCCGCGTCTCCTTACATTACGTACAAAGTGTGATATCCCTCAAGCATGTCCGCTTCGAATCCAACAGGAGCGGTAGACTAAGCTTCCCTTCTTTGTTTTTCTCGCCCCATCACCATTTGCAACTTCTTTCCAATCCCAATGTCGAGTAGATGCTAGATGCCCGTTGAAAACCTGGGTAAAAACTCAAAATGCCTCCGACCTCCGAGGAGCCGGGAGACCATACTCTTATTTCGAACATCGAACAATCCACAGTGTAAATGTTGTGGAAGGAATCAGGCTGACGTTCTACGGGGGTGAACGTTGAAGAACAAGATGGTTGCAAGTTTATCCATGGTGTCGGTATTTATTTATAATTGGTGTTGTTTCCAGGTTCTCTGTCGTGTGACGATTAGACTTGGTACCGATAATTATCGTCTCCTAAAAACCGAAAATTGCTTAATTACATGAGATTGTATGGATTAATTAAATTTGCCAGAGCAGTGGCAAGTGTGAGAGGATTCGTAGGAGAACTGTTCCTCCGTACACGATTTCGCTCATACAGAAGCCGGGCTGCACTGACACCTTATGAGAAAGGAGTTTTTCACTACAAGTTGTATCGAAGAGTGAGCCGCGTGTGTGCTAGGGAACAGACTTCTGTCCGTAAGCTTACCCGCCTTGAGTTCAACTCCCCCAACTTTGGCGATTTTGCACATGGCCAAAGAGCGTCGACTGCAAGGCGCTTGCGCTCGAAATAATTGATCTTGCTTCCATGTGTGTATGTACTCCCCAAACCTAGAAACAATTAAATAAATAACACACACCCCATATGTATATGATTATTTTCTGGTGTCCATTTTTTAATGTATTTTTTCTTTAAATGGCGCACGCCCCCCTTTGGTGGGGCAGTTGGCTTGTGACCACGGAAGGCGTCCGCGTCAGTTGGACCAGTACCGACGGACATTAGAAGGTACTGAGCGGAGACCGGAACGTTTTTTTAATATGAAGACAACACAACAACAACAACAACCGAATCAAGTGGGGGTGCCTCACAGGTACCTCGTGGACTATAGAGTTAAGGCCCGCACTTAAGAACCTCTTGTTTCGGCAGAGCCTATGGGGTCCCCACGGCGATGATATAGATTTTAGTGTAGGCTTCTTGTCCGAGTACCAGGTCTTAAAAGTCAGGTTCATTATTTTGGAATTTTAGAGGCTCAAGTTCTTAAGTGCGGCCGGTTCTGTATGCAGTGTTCCTTCGCTGCCGTGTATTCGTTTCGTGTTGAATTCAGTGGGCAAGACAATATTTTCAGCTGGTCCGGCTTTGGTGGCGACGCTCGGCGGAGTACTACGGTAAACCACATCTGGTGTCTGAATACTCGCTGAACTCGGGAAAGTGCGATATGAAACCCCAGGGGGCCCATCCTTCGTGGGTATGAAGATACGACGTTTTGCCTTCTCCGTTTCTTGAACTTCTGGTCACACTTTTTTCTTGCTTGTCCGCCTTCAAACAGGAACCAAGCGACACCTTGCACAATGATGGTGTCAAGTGTGTGGTCTTGCTTATGTCTTTACGAAAGACAGATTTCGTACACAGTTGAATTTATGGGGCGTCCTTGCCGTTGAATATCACAAGACGTGTCATGGAGACCGATGAACGGTCAAGAGCGTTGGCCCGTCCATGGAGCGTACGGGACAATATGGTTTGCCCATGGGGTATTGTATCGGCGGCCCACGGAGACCAACAGGCACCTCGCGGGTGGCCCATGGGCTCATGGTCCCGGTAGGTGTTGTTTACAAAGACAGATACATCTAATATCCGGCAAGACGCGCTAAAGCTCTTATCAAACCTAGCTTCTAACCCCCATCAAAGCTTCAGTCTTCACTTGCACCGAGTGAGTTGGCCACTGGCGGTGTCCGCTTGGTGGAAAACAATTATTTTTTGTTTATGATCAAAGCGAACGCAGCGCACAGGGACACCCGAGAGAACACGTCTCCAACTCCATGGCACACTATTTCTGTTGTTTTGTTGCTCTTGGCCTAAGATCATTCGTTGTAGGTGTTGGATGACCGGATGAGGCCTCCAGCTCTGGCCATTGTGACCCCACCCATACTTTCCTTGCAATGTATTGTCCTCGGCCACTGACATGGAGCGTGGTTGATTCACCTAAACTTTCGTAAATGGAGCAACAGGATCAAAGTTGCCCACGGTGGGCACACGTTGCAAAGGCGGCCTCGAATGCCGGAGACAACGACTCCTCGTTGGTGGCCGTAAGTTGCCCCCCCGCTGCCGTATAGTCAACGTAGTTCTTCGCGATCGACTTTTTTTTCCAACCCTCCATCTGCATGATCTCTATCCCGGGGCCACCCATGGACCCGTTCAACGACTTCCCCACCCTGAAAGAAAAAATGGAAACGCCAGAGAGGCTTTAAAAGTGAGGGGACGCCAACAACAAAAACACTGACAACAGCAAGAAGAAGAACAACAACAACAACAACAACAACAACAACAACAACACACTCCAGCCACGCGCACAGCTTTAGCTCATGCAACGACTTCCAAATTCGTATCCGTGGGCGTCACTTTAAGAGCGCACCAAAGGTGTATTCCGCACAAATATGTTCTTCTCGCCGTGGCCAGCAACCATCGTCTACGTACGCAACCCATCGATCAACCGGTCAACCGGCTGTCCAACAATAGGCCTTTAAGGCCTTATTGTGGTTGAAAATCGGAGATGGACGCTCGATCGACATGGCGGCAAGCGCGTCGCTCCAGGTATAGCCTCTTGACCCATTGAAACAACAGAAAATCGAAAACGTTCGCGTTGAGGACATCCGTCCACGCCTCGCTAGGTAAAGCTCCAATCGCGTGAATCGATTTCTTGTCGAGTCGCACAGCTTCGTGCTCGTCCGGCAGCCACTGTGCGAGCAAGGAGAAGAGTAGCAGGTGGGAGTGGGCCGCTGAAAAACGTTCCGGTAATCGATTGCGACATTTTTCAAACCTCGTGCTCTTTCTGCGTACTACTGCCTTGGCATCCATGGACAACGCTCCTACCGAAGGTTTCCCTGAAGTGCATAGCTTCAACCCTGGCGTGCGAACGCTTTGGCAACAAAATCCCTAACCTGTTTCCGTGGTAAGCTCCAGCCGAACGCCTCCTCCAATGCCCACATCTCGTCTTCGACAAATTCCAGCACAAGAACGAGGTTGAATCGTCTAAGGATATTCATAGCAGATTTCAGGTCCTCCCAGGCGATCTGCACGACATCGTTGACAGGCAGGAACAAGATGGGGGCACCGCGGGTCGTGGCAGAGGGTTGCCTAGGTGGGATGGCGATACCAATTGAGCGTGACGGGCGGTCATTCCAGCACAAGGTTGCGGCAAACAGAATTCGCCGGCACGAGTAGCTCCCTTAACGCCCCCATCAATAGGAAGAATGAACCTCGGCGGCCGTCAAGTTTCAAAGCCCTCTCACCATCCCCACAATGACCGATTCCATTCTGCGGCGGGAAGATATCCACTTACGTTTGTGATATGGAAAAGAACCGCTGACGTGCTGGGACAGCAGCAAATTTAAACTTGCACATAGGACCTGCCCGCATACCTGGTCTCCCCAGGTGTTAAATTTGTGGTAGCTCCACCACAAATCCCGGGCGTAGTTGGGCCGCCCGTCTCCGTCCACGCCCTGAGATCGATCAGGTGCAAATATGCAAATAAGAAACACCCGAGGCGTCATACGAGGAGCGGGGAAAAAAGAGAAGTAGGAAGCGAAACAGAAGCGATGCACACATGTTGAGGGAGGCCACTCATATGATATAGCTGCAGGGCAAGAACGCCACGCTCCCTTGGTAAATAAGAGCAACCTTGTTCACGTGCTCTTCGTACGAGATGACCGCCGGATAATTCACTTCAGCGCTTTTTGCACACAATGTGTGGCGTCGTAGTAGTAGGAATACGCGTTCACGTTTTAAACGACCGACGTCGTGTTCATCCTATCGTCGACTATCGTGAAGTCGACACACCTCTGAGAAAGTATCGTCTCGTTGGGAAGACCGACCGCAGAAGGTTTTGATGTAGGCGTTGTCGCCCATCTCATCCTGTCTTATCTTCTTGTACCACCTGTAGTCAATCCATGCCAGTTCAAGAGGCAGCTCAAACGTTTTCTCGCTTTGTATGCGTTGACCACCGAGTGTCGTACAAAACGAAGTGTTCAGCATATAACCCAGTCTACTTCAGATAAGTAGTGCATGTTTAGCTCTACCGCCCAGGGGCGAATCCCCACTGGACCACCGGGCGGCAAATGTGTCAATCACGGCACTCACAAGTCGAACGGCAAGAGCTCGCTGCCTGGCTTAGACCCGTCGCGGTGCTCCAAGTGCTCGAACCGATACTGACTGTACCACCGATCCACCGGATGTCTGAACGAGCAATAGGTTGTGGCGCAAGCACGTGAAATCGTGTACGCGCGTGTGTGTGAGTCCATCACCTGATTCGGGCTGCTTCCAATACTCCTGTGCTAGGCGTTATTTTCCCACTGACGAGGCACATCCCGTATTGTTGTGCGGAATTTCATGTCCTGTCTGCTATGTTGTTCGTGTACTACCACAACACTAACCGTAGACCTCACATTTGCGGTTCTGGCTCAGAATCTTGACAGACTCTGGACGTTAGATAGAAACGTGAAAAGGCGAGGGGTGTTCTTTTCTCGTGCGAGTAGCAGCAAGCCGTTGTTTTTTCTCACATACCCGAAGATATGTTTCTCTTTCGGGTAACTATTGCTATTTTGTTATCTCCCAACTTGAAGAGCACAGAGACGTTGTGTAAACTGTCTCAGGCAGATTCAACACGTGTTTTCTATTGTAAAATGTGGCATGCACGTAATGTCCAAAATCACCGGCTCATCAGACAAATATCTTGGGCCTGTCAAGCACAGCATAGCAGCTGGCATCTTGCACTGAGGAAGGACGATTTCAAAAGTTGACTCGATTGTATGTGTCATGCCATACCTTAACGTTGTAGCAAAGATGGCCCCCTGTAGAGTGAGGTGCTCTATCGGTAAGACGTCCCACTCGTTGGACGTGAGGCGATAACCCTGGATCGTAACAATTGCCGCAAATACAACCAAATGCGCACGAGACCATGGCACAGGGCGCATTAACGGGGCAATGACTGAATAATGGAATGATTGAATATCAGGTTGGTTTTCCGTGTAAGTGCAGAATCCAAGGGCCACGGCGTCTCTTGTACAAGGGACAGCGTCACGAAACATCATCCGCGAGGATGAGCTACCGTGTGAAAGCCTGAATGAAGCCTGGTACGGTAACGATCCTCGCGAACACAAGGTCTCTCCCTCCTGGACCGACGGCGATACTATGTAGTTGATCGTGCGCATTCTCTTCATGTGGCAGCCATAAGCAAATCTGCCTCCCATTCTTTGTGACTCACATGCTTTTGCATACTTTCCAAGAAGAAGTCCTTGTCTGACCATGGAGGGGTCGCGGTGGAACCCCTGCCATCCGCCATACAGAAGTACCACGGTATTTCCGTTGCCGGCATATTCCTGCACAGCATTTATCAAACAGGGCATAGCTCGCTACGCGATCAACGGATTGTCGTCAATTATGCCGTAACGTGCGTGCTTGCTGGGATATTCAAAGCAGGCCAGAAGAACGAACACTGCAGGAGGTTGTCGAAATTTCCGACGACACAGTCTTATTGACTCTGGCAAATGTGTCTAAGAGAGGCCAACAAGTTCAATGAAGAAAAAACACATCGGGGTTTAGTGGTGCTTGAGCCGAAATTGAACCATACGCATTTGTTAAATAAAATGGGAGACTTACACAAGACGGAAGACTGTAACAGGAGGCCGCGGCGTGAATGTTGAAAAAAAAAACGACATCTGTTTTGGACATATTGGTGCACACGTCCTTACTAGTCAATCTTCATTGGCATTACCCTCTATGTATCGTAGACCATCAATCGTAGATATCGTATGTCTCGGTTCATACATAACGCATCTGTATGCGGAGGACTGCTGAGGCATTCTTCTGCCCAATGGATCGCGTATCTGTCACTCTCGCTGTAACATTCTTCTGCTCAAGGGATCGCGTATCTGTCACTCTCGCATGGACTTCTCTGGATAGTTTTGGCTTTTTGCTTTCCTGGTCTTCTCTAGGAACTGCCGTCTTCTTGACTTCTGCGTTGTCTGTGGATCTATCTGTGTGTCTTGCCAATATATCTTCACGTCTTTACACAGCACAAGACGTCCGCCTACCTCTGGTCTTCAACCGCTTGCGGTGCCAACCATCTCGACTAGCATCGAGAGGCACAGCCTTACGGGTCTCCCACACTTTTAACAGTTTTCCCAAACGACCCATGGGTCACCCATGGGCATGCCTGCCCATGAAGTGCCCATGGGTGGCCCCTGGGTGACCCCTGGGTGTCCCATGGGAGTTTTATGAAAACTGTCCATAGTGTGGGAGATTGCAGCCTTACCCACGTATCAAGGGCATCTCAGACAATATCCATAACAGGTTTTAGTGCGGGAGATTGCAGCCTTACCCACGTGTCAAGGGGATCTCAGACAATGTCCACAACAGGTTTTGAAGCCTCGACTGTGAGTGAGTGGAGGCCTGCAGCGACTGCGGCTCCTGCTGCTGTCGTCGAGTGCTATGGCGTGCACACACATCGTCTTCTACCATTCCACGCGGAGTTCCCTCTGATGAAAGTAGCTGTAACTGAACTCCCCCTGAGAAGAACTTTATGATGAAACGTTGATCGGCGAAACGGTGTAGTTGAAACGCGCCAAAAACACCGTCAGGTAGACGATTGTCCTGTCTTTCCGTGGAAGGTGTCTCGTCCTTAGATGTGGCCAGAGACTCCCCCATAGCACTGGAGGAGAACCCGAACGTGGATGATTCGGATCCCTGGCGTTGTGCTAGGTGGGCGCTCCCGACGTTGTTGGAAGGCTGTAGTAGCGCTAGGTCAGCAGCCAGCCCCCGGAGCCCTTTCTGGTTATGGCACTACTGAAAGAGCTCCGGGGACTGGCTGCTAACCTAGCACTGCTACAGCCTTCCAACAACGTCGGGAGCGCCCACCTAGCACAACGCCAAGGATCCGATCATCCACTTTCGGGTTCTCCTTCACCGCTATGGGGGAGTCTCTGGCCACCTCCCATGACGAGACACCTTCCACGGAAAGGCAGGACAATTGTCTACCTGACGGGTTATTTTGCGCGTTTCAACTACACCGTTTCGCCGATCAATGTTTCATCATAAAATTCTTCTCGGAGGGAATTACGGCTATTTTCATCGGAAACAAGAATCATCTTCGACGCCATCATAGAGAAAAATGTCAACATCTTCAACGACATCTTCAAGAATTAACATCGTCATCATTAATGTGTATGTTTCTGGTCTTTAGTTTGTATGAATCAGTTTACTCTTTCAGTCATTCACTTGTCGACTTCGCATCATCGCTGGTTGAATAGCCACCTAGGCTAGGGTTGGACTTATTGTACATTGCTTGTGCAGGACAACAAGAACGCTACTCTGCAAGCGCATAGATGTACATGAAATGATACCAAGCACATTCGCTGTGTACCTTAGTGGCATGGATGGATTAGTTTCTTTTACTTTTGTTTCACGTAGACTGGATTCAATGTAAGTTCATTGAGGGGGAGTGTTATGAAAGTATTAGCTCACGTCCTATACTAGTCAATGTTCACTAGCATTGCTCTCTATCGTAGATCATGCATCGTAGATATCGTGTGTTTCGATTAATACGTAACGCATCTGTATGCGGAGGAATTAGCTGTAGCATTCTTCTGCTCGAGGGATCGCGTATCGTTCACTCTCACATGGACTTCTCTGGATAGATTAAGCTTTTAGCTTTCCTGGTCTTCTCTAGGAACTGCCGTCTTCTGAACTTCTGCATTCTCTGTGGATCTATCTGTGTGTCTTGCCAGTTTCCAGTATATCTTCACATCTCTACACAGCACAAGAAGTACGCCTACTTCTGGTCTTCAACCACTTGCGGTGCTAACATCTCGACTAGCATCGAGAGGCACAGCCTTACCCACGTGTCAAGGGTATCTCAGACAGTATCCACAACACCATCCAAATTTCTCTGGTATTCTCTACAGCAGTACACAGTCCTGCGTCAGAAACCTACGTAATATTGATGACGAATGGCGTTAGGGAATCAGAGTGTGATCCCCTGTGCAACGCTATCGACGGCCAGGTACCACACACACCACACCAATCCACGGCCGACCACAAGCATGAGCAGCTGTTTTCATTCATTCCTGCTAAGCCGGGGTAGAGAGCTCAGTGTACAGCTCATGAGCAGCAAGGCGACACCAGAGGAAAACAGGCCGTTCTGACCGTCGACATCCGAAACCGAATCCCCACCCACCATCATCAACAGCTCACCGTAGTGTCCTTCAACTTACCTGGAAGCCATGTCGCAGAACGCCGTTCCCCCCGCTTTCCTCAAGTGCTGATAGTAGAGAAACCCCTGTCCCGCTTTGAATGCTTCCTCGTTGTCATGATCTCGAATGTCGGGTAACGAAAATCGATCCGCCTCTCTATCTGGGCACTCGAACTTGTCAGGAGAGTCCACAGCTACCTGCAGCGGGGAGTATATCACGGATGCGTTTCGTGTTGTCGCATGGAAATAATATTCACTGCGTAGTTCTTCTGCTTCAGCTTGAAGTGACTTAGAAGTATGTGTCTCCTTCTGTCCTCTGTTTGACGTACCTCGGTACCATGTTTTCCAGAGCGACTATTGCGCGCTGTGTTGTATTCACAAATGAACGCTAGTGGTGGTATTCATGTTTCTCATACCCTTGCCGCATACAGTATTTATGTGCGCTTCTAATCACGTCGGTCATCTCGTATTCACGCACCCCGGTGCGAACTCTCCGTCCCCATACCAAACAAAAGAAACACATTTTCATCTTCTTCTTATCCTTCTTCACAACCGCGTGTGAACTGGCGCACAGGTACCATATTCGGGTTGTCATTATTATACTACTGCCTGGAATATTACTGGTTCAAACATTATATCAGTACATGGTATATGCCCACACGTCCTCCCTTTCGGTGCGCTGTGAAAGCAACAAGCAATACTTCTCGCCTTGAAAGGGTCCGTCTCCTGAAGTACCCTTGCCAGATCAGCGCGACTGTCGAGGCCGATAGAATGTAATCTCTCCACCAAGTCCCACCCGGTCAGCTCCTCCGGGATCTCAACCAACTTCTGCACGGGATTAGCCTGTGGTAGTGACTCGGGGCCTGGAACCTAGAGACACCACAGAGTGTATCAGGTGAGAATCAGGGAACCCATTAGGTCCGGCTTCATCCTCGATGTGCATCAGAAGCGAGCATGCGTGCGCAATGAATTCACACGCCCAATGCGTGTGCAATGAATTCACACACCTTCCTACCTCAGCTTGCTCTATTCAAAAGAAGGATCAGACAGCAACCAATTCTGCTCTGGCTGCCCCTCAAGAAAATCAAGCGGCGAGTGCGCCAGGGAACATTCTACTGCCATTGAGGTGCCCTATACCGACCTCATCATTTTGGCAGGAGTAAACCAAATGGTAAAGCCGCCTCATGAGCTGCTCATCGACATCGTTGAAGCTGAGGGAGTCACTTGAGTAGCCTTCGCGACCGAACTTCGCATCAACCTCCTGGTCCATGTACCAGGCATTCACGACGATTCCTGACGCAAGGCGATCTGCTGGGTCCAGAGGCATGTGTTGCCTGCCATCCCGATGAAAAGTCAACCAACCAGGGAAACCCAACGAGACCAGACGATGAGTCACGACAAGCTGAAGCGACCAAGAGAAACAGTTGGTCGCGTGGCTCATAGGGCGCGCGTATAACCAAGGGTGCAGTACGGCCTTGTTTCGACCTTCGCTCGCAAAAGTTGTGCCGCACTTGTACATGCTGGATGGACAGCATGACTCGGTGCTACGAAAACGTATGTGTGATTGGCCACTGGTCCGAACTGGCGCCGATGACCCAGCAATGCGTTTTGGCCGAGTGCGTACACCTGCCCTGCAAAGACATCAAGTATCACAAAAAAAGAGGTTCTTACCCGAAGTGAGTTGCTGGCGTGAAGGGGTGGAATCGCTCGCGCCCGAGAGTATCTCGAGTATCGAATGCGCTGACGCCGTTCTTCTTCAAGCACATAGAAACCTGATCATACAGAGCACCCCCATATACACACCCCAGGAGCGTGGTTCGGTTAGCAAAGCTAGAAGCGAAACTGTTGTGTAGTCCCCATTTGCAGATTTCGTGTGAGCACAGAGTGTCACCTCGGGTTCGAAATCCTAGCCTACGTCCTCCAGTACACTCACCCACTGGTATGTGTATAAGAGCTATTTGTGGCTGGTGCTGTTTACGATAGGCATGTCCGAGGAGGAGACGGATCCGAAAAGACGATCACCCGCATCTGTGCAATCACATTGTGCTGCACGGTATGTAGACTGCCTTGCATCTCCTTTTCTCTTCTTGTTTTGAATCTCTCTCTCTCTCTCATCGGTGATTCGCTACACAACAGCCTTCTGCCTCACCAAGAGATCTTCCCATGGAGTTTTCCTATGGGGCTGGCAATCGTCATCGTCGAGGTGGCTCGCCAAGAGGCCCACCGACGCCTGGTTCAACACGTATGAGGCCCGTCCGTTGTTGTACATTCGATGGTCCTCGCCAAACACACGTAGACGTCTTCCTAGGTACATGGGGTTGGCCCCGCCGTTTTTGATGCCCCCGCCTGCGCTCTTGACCTCATCCGATAGCAGGTACTGCGGGTCGACCGGGTAGGGGCGGAACAAAGCGGATACTTCGTGTTCCAAAGGCAAGTACTAGAAGCTCGAGACTTGCTAGATATGTCGGGTCTGGAGATGTCGTTGTGAAAGTAGGAAGACTCCCCAGCCATCAGGCACCTCCTAGCTTCTATGGGTCCAAGCAGCACAGATTTGGGGTAGGACAGCTGCAAAACGCTGCCTATGACTCCCGCGAGGGACGGCGTCATTGTGGGATGAACCCTCGTACCCCCATGAGGAACACCAAGCAGGGTAGAGGAGGGAGAGGGAAAATGAAGAGAAAACGGAGGGAATGTTTTGAACAAAGGAAGCATCCGTGACAAATGTACTACGGGGAAAACGACAATAGCGCGGACAACCGTTTTCCTCAGTGCAACGCCATCATCGACCACCGCAGACCCTGCTGAACGTCTCGGGAAGAGAACAACAAGGCATCTATTTTCACACCGAAACCATTGCACCGCACCATGCTATGATGCTCGGCACACCTTGCGCAGGTTCTCCGCGATAAGGAAGAGGTCGTCGCCCCCGAGGATGAACCAGTCGAAGTCCTCTTTGTAGTGGAAGTTGATGTACTTCCAGATGGCTCTGCTTTTCTGCCACATGTTGCCTTCCTCCTCGAGGCCCTCTCGCTTGATCTTGAGCCTGGTGGGCGTCACACCAACAACACCTATTAACTAGCGGCGTAGTCCCTTGGGAGAAAGCGACAAACACAGTTGCACTGTTCTACCCAATACCTTGCTGTTTCTGTCAGGTTCAGCATAGTTGTAGCCCGTACTTTGTTCCTGTATACGACTCATTTACTGCATCTGCTATTGCTTCTGGAGTTCTACCTGGCTGCACACAAAGGCCAGGAAAAAGCCCTCACGTGCTAAGTTCTTGGTCAGTTTTGTCGCTGAAGGCCACGAATCCGTCACAGTGGGACGCCCATGTCTCCTTGATCGCCTGCAGTTCAGCACCCCATTGCGAGCGCATCACACAAACCCCACAAGACGGAGCAACAAAAATGGAGGAAAATTATGCCGGGGACGTGCCAGGCGAAGGGTGACTGGATTTGCTCGCGTCAGTTCCCACGTTAGTTTCTGGATGCCGATCTCTCCCCGACATTTAATATGCCTACCAGTTGTATGGGACGAAGAGGCGGAAATCATTTCATATGGTTGCAGGGGAACACTCGTGACTCATGAGGCTTATGGTCGTGCATGTATCTTTGAAAATCCCTTCCAAAAGCGCATTCTAAATTGAACGTCACTGGCATGCACATGAACCCGTGCCAAAAGGACAGGGGCGATCGTAGGACAGCCTCCTATCAGACGCAATATTGATTTCAACCAACAACCCGCCCCACCTTGACGTTGGTGCGATGGTTCTGATGGCGGGTGGATATACCGCAGAATATCCTTGGCGCAGTCTTTGCGGCACCCTCCCAAACACGGACCTGGGCCAAAAGTTTCTGGTGGTCATCGTTCCTGCGGAGATGTGGACGACGGCGAATCAACATGGATCGAAACGATTGAGGCACATTCTACAAATGAAGAAACAAACAACATTGGACGCGGTACCCCATGTGGCACCCTTCGGGGTACATCAAAGCTGTGTGGAACGGACAAGACGTGGGTTGGCCCATCAGGCGCGTGGGTCTAACAAAAACGGCCCAGTTGCCAAGAACCAAACGTCATGACGGGGGGGGTTGAACTCACCCGTCGCACGCCCCAGGAAGATCACTCTGCGCTGACAAGAAATTGGTCCCGTCGATTTTTTCTTGGTAGTCCCAAGGCTGCCCGACTATCTGTGTATCTTCTGAGCCGGAAATAGGTGGGGATCCTCGTCCAATCGGCTGATCGAGAGCCTCGTATTGGCATCCCTTGTACGCTGTAATCTCGAATACGCTCATTTTCAAGAAACCTCCACAAATTTCGCCTGTGGTGGTGCCCGCGCACAGAAAGTCGCATTCGCCGGCCGCGAGCTCCTCACCGTTCTGGTTTAGCTCGGGGTGAATCCCGCACCAGCACTTTTTTATTGATTCGTGGGGGATCGAGGAGGAAGGCCAAGGGCGGGTGCCCAAAAAGCAAGTTGCAGGGCAATAGCTCGGTGTGCGGGAAGTACACACCTCCATATGTCGGATAGGGCTACGCCGCACACCAAAGTTCGTCCACGAACGTACTTTAGCGTCGAAATTCCTCAGTCGAGGCGCTACTTTCACGGCACCAACGAAACACGCGAGACGTAGCAAGTATACACGAATACACAGAGAAGAAAAAACGTCTACCGTAGGGTCCAAGCAAACATCATTGACAACGCAACGCTTTCTGCATAAACAGCGAGGAGTTGAATACTCTGTGCCAGCAGTCAGTCCTGTTGCGTCCGAATGTACGAGTTACAAAATTGTATGAGGCCTCGACAACACCGAGCAAGTATCTCGGAGAAGTCTCCGAAACGAGTAATGATATTTCCCGCAGGTCTTTTAACAGACCTGGACTTCCTGTCTGTGAAGAATGAACCGCAAGAGCTCAGGTTCACGGTCGCGTATGTGCGAGGAGATGTACTTCTATGGCGCTACCTTGTCGAGGGTCTAGCTGGAGTTGAGCAGCAACATCCTTTGAAACACTTTGGTAGCAAGTAACAGCAGTAGGCTGGACACACCGCGAACTGCAATATTTAGCGTTGGCCCGGGGGGGGGGTGAGATCTAGCAAGGGTTCCAAAAAACCTCCAGCTACCTATTGCTCCTTCCAACCTTTTAGGCCGTTCTTGCTTTGTGTTGGGGGTACTTCAACAGGAGCTAATTTGTCAGGTAGACTTCGATACATTTAGCAAACTTGAAAACATGCACATTTACCACCCACCTCGCCGGAGTATTGCATGCCAAAGTGGGTGTTCACCCCGTCGTCGCAGAACATGTAGCACATCTGAGAGTGAAAACCGCGATGTTCATCGAGACCGGATATTATCCACCACTAGCATGCAGTGTACTCCGTTGAGAGAGACAAGTGACACACTGGAAGAACCTCAAGATCACAATTCTCGAAACAAGAGCCATGACGGGAACCTAGATGTGTTCCGACGAAAACACTGCTGCAGCCCAGACACATGAAGAAAAAGAATTCCGTCGTCCCCAGCGGCTAAACCGAAGTATGGGATTGAATGGCCACTTTGGACAAGCGTTGATGCTTACCTCCGCAGACATTGGATTATGCTGGCCCCTCGAATTGAGTATCCTCTTGCCGACCGAGTCGGCATAGCAGCCAACGAAAGAAAAATCAGCTGGGCAGCCTGCTAGGCCGATCGCAGAAGGAACGAACAGGGCGCACTCGAGTGGTGCGGTCTGCATGTAGCGGGAGACAGCTTGAATATTCGACTTGTAGACGTAAGTCATATGAACCCGTCCTCCTGCGCCTCTCAACGTCAAACACGGCCATTTATAAGCTGGAGCGGTGCAGCAATTGATTTACTCACGGACGAGACAACGATAGGACAAACACGCATCGAACCCTTACAACAGGTAGAAAAAGATCTCCAATCGGCGCGGGTCTACGTCCTGACAGAGTAGACGGTGCGGCTGCACGGCGCCGGCAACACACAACACAATGGGATCACCGAGCGTGCTGGACGGACGCTAAGGAACGTCGTTAGATGTTTAATGCATGGCAGAAAACCACCAGAGTTTCTATGGGGCGAGTTGTGCTTGCTGCACGGCGGTACACATCACGAATCGCCTGCCGCATGTGCATCTGAACAATGAGACTCCTTACTACTGGATGTTTGGGAAGCAAGCTTCGTTACGCCATCTACGGGTCATCGGATCATCAGCGTTCGTGCACGCCGAAACGTACAAGTCTAAGCTTGCGAATCGAGCTTGGCCAGGAATACCGGTTGGGTACAGCCCCAACAGCAATGCTTACCGGATTTATAATCCAATGGACGCGACCATGCCGCCGGTCATACCGACAATTGAGGAACTGCGCGACTACGAACCGGAAGAATTGTCGATTTCCTCGGATGTCGTCATACTCGGAAACGAGGGGGAAGCGACAGATAATTCGCAAAATGAGGAGGATTACTTCAACAAGAACAAGAACAAGAAGGAGAAGAAGGAAGTACAACTCGCACGAACTTGCGAAGCAGCGGAAGGAAAATGGATAATCAACAAGTAACAAACAGCAAACACCAGCAAGCGGAGCTACGGAGGCTACCGCCATGGAACAAACTAGCCGCTTTTGTCAACCAAGATCAAGATCAAGGTCAAGATATAAGAATCAAGACTCCTTCAGCTGGAGAACCTGTCCGGTCGCCAGCATCAATACCTATACCAACTACATATCAAGAAGCCATGAGGTCTATGGATGCCGATCAATGGAAAGCAGCTAGGGACAAGGAAATGAGGAGCTCAAAGATCATGATGTGGCGGATGCAATTCCAATTCAGAGCCTATTCCTGGAGCTAACCCTACTGGATCAAGGTGGTTATACACAATGAAAGCACCCGGAGTAATGAAGGCAAGACTCATCGTGCAAGGCTGGGGACAACGGCATGGAATCGACTGTGGTGGAACCTACGCCCCTGCGAGTCGATTTAGCTCACAGCTAGTATTAGTGGCGATTGCGGCGGAAAGAGGATACGTTGTGGAAACCATGGACGTGGTGACCGCATTTCTTTAAAGCAACGTGGAGGAAGAAGTGTATGTTCGTGAAGCTAAAGGATACGAAATAATGGATGAAGTTACGGGACTACCGCTGGTGATGAAGCTCAAGAAAATCTTATACGGATTGAAGCAGCGCCCTCGGAACTTCGGCAACGCATTTGCCAAAGGAATAAAAAAAATCGGGTTTACTTCTCTACGGAACGACCCGTGCGTATATGTGTACGGTACTCGACCGACATATGCGATACTATGTGTGTACGTGGACGACTGCACACTAGCTGGAAAGACACCGAGCGTGGTTCAAGATTTGAAGAAACAGCTATCGGAAAAATTCAAGACGACGGACGGAGGACCAGCGGAACTACTACTAGGAAGGAAATTTCTCAGAGCGACGGAGAAATCACCGTGAGCCAACACAAACATGTGATGAACATACTGGACAAGTATCAAATGACGGACTGCAAACCAGTGGCGACTCCAGGATGCGGACCAGAAATTGAACAAGAGCCGGAAAATGCTATATATTTAACTGACGAGGACAAGAAACTCTACCAGGGAATAGTCGGAAGTCTATTCTTCTTGACTAACACGACAAGATGGGAGATTTATATGCCGTGATGATCCTGTGTAGAGGGATGAACTAGCCTACCAACCAACATATGGTCGGAGCGAAGAGAGTGCTGCGATAGGTTCGAGGATGCCCGGATATGCCACTAAAGTTCAGGAGAGGACAATGGGACCTGAAGTGCTACTGTGACGCGAACTCCGCTGGGTCGAGCGAGACACTCCAGAAACGTTCTTCTACAGGATACCTGTTCATTCTAGCAGGAGGCGTCATCAGCTCAATCCAGTGTACATGCGGAGATAATCGCGATGTCTACAGGAGCGAGGGAAGCCATTATCTGCAAGGTGTACTGCCGGAACTTGCAACATCCCGCTTCATTCATATTCCACGGGACACTGAGCACAGGGGGAAACTCTATGTTTCGAGGCCGCAGCAAGTTCATCAGCACGAGATACTGGCTCCTTAGACAAAATGTGAACCAGGGGAATATTGTGCTGAAGTTTGTGAGGAGGGAAGAGCAGCTGGCAGACATACTGACGAAGCATCTGGACCGAGTTCAATTCATCAAGCTGAGAAGGATGGTTCAAGAACATGGAGGATCTACGAAATAGGAGACTTCGTGCGGCGGAACTGCAGATGTGATGGTTTTAGATGTACACCGACAACATCGGAGAGGGTCGGTGGTACGGTGACTCGAGACATCACGCGCAAAGACGTCCGAGACATCATACGCTGAGACAACAACGACCGAGACAGGACAACCTGGACGAGACTACACCGAGACAAAAACGAGGGCAACTACTGAAACAATGGCATCATCAGAACATGGATCTGGGCTTATTTCGAGTGATGAAGAAATTCAAGTCAGGCAAGAGCATCATTACGACGAAGACAACAACGGCGAAGACAGCAACGACATGCCAGATGGGTCAATGTGTGTGGAGATTGATCATGTTACTCTAGTAGGTACATCTGAAACCGTAACATCTGCAGTTCCGCCGCACGAAGTCTCCTATTTCGTAGATCCTCCATGTTCTTGAACCATTGTTCTCAGCTTGACGAATTGAACACGGTCCAGATGCTTCATCAGTACGTCTGCCAGCTGCTCTTCGCTTCTCACAAACTTCAGCACAATAGGAATGTTGAGCAGAGGGAGGCTACAAGGTCCTGATCTATATACACAGGAATTCCTGATGGAAGTGAAAACTGAATTGAAGGCAGGCATGGACTGGGTCTTGATTGAAATTATGGAAGAAGGAAGAAAGAGAATGGAGTTGAATCTGGACATGATGGAGCCAAGCAGGCAGTAGTAGCAAGCTGTGAACATCTTGTTGAGGACCAAGTTAGGAATATTACAGGACTCGGTAGTTAAGGTAGTGAAAAATAGAAAGACCTTCCAGGAGAACATGACCAAACGCGTCATGTCAAGACTGAGGGACCGTGGTATGATACAGTAAAAAAGAATAACGAAGAAGTAATTAATGACGATTGTTTTTGGAGTAGGATAGCAACTGAACAGGCAGTTCTTGAAGCATGGGTAACGCGCGAACCATGATACAACTTATGGGGGCGTGTATAATGCAGGAGCACGAATGGAGGAAGTACTAGACCTGCAGGATTTGTGCGGTAGATATAGAACAACGATGAGGTTGTTGAAGCACACGTAACATTGCATTGGGGGCATGTTGGAATACAGAGCATTAATGCTGTAGGTTGTGTGTAGTAGAATAGATGCAGCTGTATGATTGCTGCATGCAATCATACGTAGATGCGTATGATCAGTGACGTTTGGTAGAACGTAACATGTGGTGACGAGTCCTACCGAGGAGCTCAAGAATTAATTGATGGTTGATCAGAGGATTGTAATTGTAGCGAGATCACGAGGTGTTGCGAGCCCCATTGGGCTCACTGATGCGTATGATCAGTGACGTTTGGTAGAACGTAATATGTGGTGACGAGTTCTACCGAGGAGCTCAAGAATTAATTGATGGTTGATCAGAGGATTGTAATTGTAGCGAGATCACGAGGTGTTGCGAGCCCCATTGGGCTCACTCCCCCCAACTGTCCCCCAACATCTCACCTCTGCAAGTAAGCTGTGAAGCGAAGAAGACCGAAAAGAAGTACAAGTCCCAGAAGCGGCATTCAGCAACAACATCGACTTCGGTCACTGCCTCTACACACTTCGGTCCTGAACATCACACAGACTTCTGTCTGGAACTGCACAAAGGCTTAACCGCCTGCAGGCGACCCTTGGGTACAGGGCACCTCGACACTACACATTTCTGGTCGCATCTGCAAGAGTCACGCAGGCAGCGACGCAGCATTTTTCTTTCTCTTTGTTTTATCCTGTTCCTACACCTGCCGAACACCCTTAGCAGGATGCAGCGCACCCTTCATGCGATTCGCCGAATACCTCACGGCGCTTCGCGCTTGGTGATGTGAGAGCCTGGTCCGGTGAGAACCCGGCGTGCTCCGTCCCGGCTTTGTAGGGATGCGAGGTCGATGGTCTAACGACTTCGACATGCACGACTATGAGTGCACCCCCCCTACCAGTGCACTTGCCAATTTGTTTGTATTAACGAGGGTTAGTCTCGTTCCCACGTCGCCGAATGCATTATCACCAATAGTCTACAACAATCGCTACGAATATGTTTGGGGGCATGGTGTGTTCGTGTGACCACTACGCAATTCAAATTCACATTCCAAACGTGAGAAGGTCAAGAGGTTACAAAATGCGCAAATGGGGAGGCCAGTTGGATCGGAAGCGGGGAAAAACGAACAGTTGTCGCAAGCTGTGGTGTGGAGTATCCTCGACACTCGCACTATAGGCAGTTGACCAGAAAATATAGAAAGTGGCCTGCCTAGAAATAATATCCTGCGGACAAGTTGGCCACACACACGGTTCCGATTTCGTTGCGTTCCGGTTCGCTGCAACAATAAGACAAGAGAGGTGTACGGTAGCCTGCAGGTATTTACACCCCTGAAAATCTGCCGGATGTGCAAGGCACAACAGAACAAACACACCAAGGGGTCGTAGAAAGCATTTTGGATTCTACCAACAATTAAGTATCGCCGGATGTGTGTTTGTGTGGGGGTGAGGAATCTTGACCAGAGAGTAGCTGTTGCTCATGTTGACCGTGTGTATACCTATTACCACCGGATGTGGTGTTTTAGGGGGGTGATATCTACAGTACTGTTGGGTGTGGTATCTTGTGTCTTGGATATAGACCACTGCCGTAGGCGAACAGACGACCGAGTGCTGTAGCCAATGCTCAGACTCAGAGGTCTAGATGTTTTTAAACTGCGAAAATGTTTCGACGCGGTACGAGCGAGAAGAATTTACTCTGCGGCGGTGTGCACGGTGTAGGTATGCATTTTCCTCGAGCAGCTTGTTGCAGTTTGTCTTCCGCACTACACCTGCTCGCTCACATACATGCAGAAGTAGGACCTCAAAGCAGCCGCTGCTACACACTCACCAGCCTCTGCTTCCACGCGGAGAAGCCCGAAGAGTGCAGAGGAGGTACGGATCTTCATCTTCACCCAGTATGATGAATGTCTTCAGCCCGTCGATGATGAGGTGTGTGGATGGATATGCGGTGGGCGGGTGCCAACAAGATAACCCCGCCCTCTGCCAACAAGTTCAGCAGCGTGCCCCCCCCCGCCTGGCGATGGCGACACATTTTCCTGGTGGGGTGCCAGCACACTAGCGATCTATGTAGCGATGGAAGAGGCGTAGTAGAGTCATTGATACGAAGGAGAGTTCTGTGGAGCAGTGTTCATCGGGAGGATCTTCACGTACGTGTAGTGCACCCGTCGCTCGGGTGAGTCCTGCGCAGCCTATGTCTCAAGTCAGAACTGGCCATCCCGTTCATTTTTTTTTTTATTTGAGTTCCGCCGACGGTTCGAAGTCCGAACCAACATGGGCGACGCCGCACACGCATGGAAACGTGTTAATTTCACACGTGGATCCTGCCCTCTCCTTGGGCGCGCGGGAGGTAGACTGCTCGTGAGAGGTGGACGCACACATGATCATCCTGGTGCTCTTGCTCTTTCGCCAAACCCTTGCTGCTGTATTGGCAACAAGCGCTTGCGGCGAAATTGATCCGAGAGGTGTGTATCCTGATGTACGGCCGTTGGCAAGTGCTTTTTTACCGGTCATACGGACACACCTTTTTCGTGTAATCTAGCCCGGGTCGGGCAGGGGCAATAGGATCTGCGGGCGTTGGGTTCATGTGAATAGAAAGGCAGACCAGACGAATTCAATACCGAAGCACTCTCGATTTACCGAAGAGCAAGCACGCAAGGTTCTCGATACATCGGGTGGCTGGTTGAAGCAAGGATGCGCCAAAAAGAAGTGAAGGGAAGAACAACCTTGGGTTGTTCCTTTTATCATGTGTTTGAGTGGCACGTGGGGTCTAGCAACCAACTCATACAACCCCCAGATGTAGACTAGACGTCGTAAGAAGACTATTTTGTGCTGCGGTTCCGATTGCAGTTCCGATTGCTTTGTCAGCAGAGAGATCGCAAACACACATGGACGTCTCGTCGTTGTTGTTCTTCTATCATCCTTGCCGCCGTGATTGGTGCGTGTGTACCTTCGCGACTGTGTGCACACATGTAAAGATGTTGGGTTATTCGAGCGAAGCGAGATTTCTAATCTGGCCTGAGGTCTTACGGCAATATAGCGCTCCATCAAGAAAAAAAGTGCGCGTGTCTGTTCGCTTTATCTAGGTTTTAGACTACATTTTTTATTTTAAAGGGGAGGTCAGCAGACCGCACGTGACCACACAGCAGGTTGCAGCTATAGACACGCACAGCAGACAACACACGCACAGCGGTTTGACTTCTTCATGAAGCACCATGAACCCGGGTGGTGCGACAAAGATATACCGCAAGGTCCAGACTGTCGCCCAGAACAGATGAGGTAAAAATACGCACCCGCATGTGCATACTCCATGACAATATCCGGATGCCAAAGGGGGCTACCGCACTTTGACCAGCAGAAAATTGACATTTTGTTTGGCTCTAGTGCAGTCCGGACACAATTCATCTCAACTGTGCATGGAGGATCCTGTCGCTACATCAAGGTGGCAATCGCACAGGTGCGCCATACTTTGCATCGTCAGGCTCAAGGCTTATTCACAGTCTCGCTGCTTTTCTCGTTGGCGTCGCACTCTGTTTTTCACTCTTAAGTTCGAGATCCAGCTCACTCCTAAGTTCGAGACCCAGCAACAGCTCAAGTGGTCGAATTGTTGCGCAAATACATTGTTACGGGGCAAGCTCATTTCCCTCTGCCAGTGATGAAGTATGCATCATAGCTCCCGGTATGGGCGTGGCAAGCCGCGATAAGCTCGAGCCTACTGTAGCCGCTGCTACCTCAACGAGCATTTGCCAGTTGAACGATATATTTTCCACTGCTTGTACAGGGAACTACACCAAGACTCATCAACGGCAAGGTTCAGAAAGAGTCAACCATGACCACGCTGGGGTAAAAGTTCTGTCGGAGGGGAGTTGCTCTGCCGCCCCTGATTCTGCGCAAACGCTGCCACCTCCTGTTCCTGGTCTCGCTGGCGACACCGACGTCCTCGGTCATGCGATACGACTCCACCAAGCCGGGGATTCTGAGGCGGCTAAAGACACATACAGCGCATTGCTGGAGGTGAACAACTTAAGAGTTTGCTTTGTCGCTGAAATACGCCTGAATTCCCTTCTGAACGATAAACTGCTTCGAACACGGAGGCCATGCGAACGGTGTCGAGAAATATATTTGCCGCCAACGCTATTATGTTGTCGATGTGAGTGCGATAATATGACGCGCGTATTCAAAACCCTGTTACGAACCTACAAACTCTGTTGTATTGAGCACGGCTCGAAGGCGAATGCACAACTGTGCGCCGGCCACTAACGTGAAAATCCTTCGGCAAGCAGGCTACCCCGCGACACGCAGATGCTTTGCGCTTGCTGGGTCTAACATGGTACGGCGACGCTATTCGCATCGAGAGCAGCGGGGACGGATCCGTCGCCTCAGCAATAGACATAGCAGGTAGGCTGCAGCAGCTAGCTGAATACACATCATCATGCATAGTTCCGGTCGCTCAAGCATGAAGGGTGCGCCATCATGCCACGGATATGAGATACCCAGTGCATCCTGCGACCTTCAGTATCAGCTGCCGCATCATTTCCGAGCTTGCCATAAACAGAGTGAATTGCGGGTCCACCCAACCGTGATGACTTTCAACTGTAACATCAGTGCAATTGGTAATATTTGCTCTAGGGTTCGCCTCTTGACGCGATCATTTTTTGTTGTTTGCGCACCGATTTTTTCCCACACAACACTTCGCGCTTGCCTCATCTACCACAACGCAATACTTTAGGATACTTCGAACAGGCCCAGCAATTTGTTTGGCGAGCGGTACTCTGCGCCAAGGCGGGGCGAGAAGTATATTTGATACTCGGAGACCTGGGAGAGGTACTTCGAGGTTCAGGGGCGCTGCAGGACGCAGAGCGGGTTTTGAGGAGCGCGCTTCAAAGCAATAGTCTCCCCACACACGTGAGGAGAGGATGACGAGGGCGCGGGGTAACCGTTAACCCTTGAAACTCCTGTCAAGGGGGCGTTTCTACGCGAGGATCCGCTGTATTCTGTCGGAACTCAATGACAGCGTTGAGGTTATCTCTATTCTCTGCGAGTAGTCACAAACTCTGTCCACCGTCTCCTTGATGCATTCAGTGGTGGTGCTGTGAACTAGCAACTCGTTTATGCCGTCAGCTGTTGTTGGAATTGCGTGTGTATCCCGAGAACGCTTTCCTTTCGTCTTGCTGTCTCTTTTGTGACCGCACCAATTCCCATCCCTTGCCCCCACACTACCCTGCGAGTCCAAACGTAGCTAGACTTTGCCCGACAAGCGGTCAAACTAGCAATTTGAAGGCCCAAAAGAATATGTTTGGACGTTTCTGTCTTATGCTTGTGTGGCCTCAGCAGTACAACGCCGTCGAAACGGACAAACTTATCCCTAGAAACACAGGACCGGTGCAAGCTACGAATCCATGCACCCAACCGGTCGTGTAGTCGTTAGAATCTGCTTGTTGCCCGTGCCACCCAATTCTGGTCACGTAACGCCAAGCTGGCTCCTTGGCAGGTAGCAAGTGCTATCCATCAAGCGGCACTATACGATCGTTGAGTGACTGGAAGAAACCAAACAGTTTCAACTATTTAACTCTTTCTGAAACCAAGATCTGCCGAACGTGTGGTCCAAGAAACGCATCATGACAAGAACTCTCATGAAAATCAAGCCTTTTTTCTGTTTGCCTCGACGTGCAGGCCCGTCGTCAGGCGACGTTTAACCTTGCGGTTACCCTCATCCAGCTTCGTGGAGAGACCAGGAAGCCGGCAAAAGCTACAGGTGTGTCGCGTTAGAGTGTGAATGGGTAACAGACGCAGTTGGGATGTATTGTGCGCAATAGGAAGGTGCTACATTAAGGTACGGTAGAGCACGGGAACAAGCTCCCATGTCAAAGCAAACGCCATGGGATGGCTTGTCTGGTTTCGTGTGCATGCATTTCGTGTGCATGCTTGAATATTGCCCTGCGTACGAACGCCCTGGGGCGCCTTTTGGGGGTAGTATTTGTCAACGCGGGGGTGTACGAGTAATGCTTCGTTCTTTACGGGATTTCATGGCATGGCCGGTTGGCTATAGAAACGTGCGCGGCACCAGGACGGAATATGCTACACACAATGATTCTGGGGACAGGACCAAGTATGAGCGTTGGCATCACCGGAGTTGAAAGAGTCCTGGGTGTGGAGCATATTAACTGTTCCCCTCGTGCAACGGGCACCGTCTCTCGCTCTCTGGCACAAGCGATTGGACCTCTCATACCGAACCACGACCGCACGCATCTTCAAGCCACACAGGGTGCAGAGCCGCACAATTCGGTCTTCAGGCTCTTGTGTGCTTCATAGTGGTGTTCATAGTGGTGTTCATAGTGGTGTTCAGGCTCTTTTAAAACTCTTACGTGTGTCGGCATGTCGCCATACTCGCCAAGAAGTTCTCGGCAAGTCCCTTCGTTTGGACGGATGTCGAGCCTGCGAGGTGGGCGACTTATCGCCATTTTTCTCTGCGATAACTTCTGCCTGTTGACCTCCGTACTGCACGAAGAACGTCCGCATGACCGCCGGCGCTACGACGACGAAGTGGAGGAATTGCTGCGCGGGGTCGTGGCGGATGGTGCTGGCACCGTTGACTCCCTGGTGAGTGCGTGAAAAGGGATCGGCGCATTGTTGTGACAATAATAGTCATCGCCGACACTAGTGCCTGGGCTTGATGGAGCGTTTCCTCAGGCCCTCAGGGCGAAAATGTGAGCAGGGTGTAAGTGTTTCACAGCAACAACTCCGGGAAACCCTGGTGGGGCTGGACCTGCGCAAAGTTGGTTTACGTTGGGTGGAAAGTAAGTATGGTGGCTCGTTGCTCGTGCGAATCAAACAATAGCACCCAACATCCTAAATTACAAGGAGTGCAACATCAAAACCGCTTCTGCCCGGTGTTTTATCATGCGGTTCTTCTGCATGACTACCGATACCTCCAGAACTGCATGCCCTCCTCTCGTACATCCCTCGCATGTCACATGTCACAGACACGTCGGGCGACAATGCAGCTGGGGCTATTTGCGAGGACCCGCAGTGACTCCGCCGCAGCCGTGTACTGGATGGAGAAAGCGGTACGCTCGCTTCAGTTCGTATTCAACGTAGGTAGCTCTCAGATTCTCCACACTACCAAAATCGTAATCTTGGGCCGATATGGTGAAAGTGTTCGAAAACATTTACGAGTAGAGTGTAATGGCGGTTTCACGGAAAGCTCTTCACTTTCGCGCGGCGGGGGACGTGATTTCTCCAGGTAGATGTTTCGGCGGTGAACGGAATTCTGATACATATCATTTCCCTCACACTAGCTCACGACCGCCCTTTGGTGTATCAACTCCCTCTCTGGTGTCGAGAAAACAAGCAGGGGGATGATCGTACGAGACACAATTAAATGTACCATAGCCCTACCTTCATACGCAAGTTATCCTCAACCTGGTACAACGACGATCTCCAAGAGGAATGACGGTGATTTTCCCGCCGATCACGTCAACAGCAGTAGTCATCGTTGACCGTCGTGTGTTGTTGAATAATTGAACACGGACAGGTAAGTCTGAATCCCGGCTGCCCGAGCACAGCTCAAGAGCTGGGGCGTGCTCTGTTGGAATCCGGGCGAGCGAACGAGGCAACAGAAGTCCTCAAGCAGGTCAGCTGTGCAAGAAGTGGTTTCGTTCTAGACACACCGGTTTCGGGGAACTGGTAAAACCAGGATCGTTCGGAGAGGAGAGTCGCTAAATGGGTATGTCCATGGTGTATTCGAACCCCAGGACAACACCACTCACGAAAAGTGCACATTCACACGTTTCGATTCTTACGAGCGTAGGGCAGATACGCTGGTCGACAGTGTATATAGGGCTATTGTTGGTGCACTATTGAAATGGGAACGACCGAGCACAAGAAGCAAGGAAACACAGCCTACCACTATCCAACCCCCCACGGCGTTTGGAACATGACGAGTCACGTGTGACGCATGACGAAATGGTACACCAAATGGTCGTGATGTCTGAGCTAAAACCTCCGATGAAAGCCATACCCTCTACTTCATGATCGCATATTTGAGTACGGTGATCACCACTGAAATATGTACGTACCTGCGTGCGGTTGTGTTGAGTATACAAGGCAGAATTCCATCGCATGTGGTTTGCTCTGGAAGGCCAGAAAGCACGAAGCCTGCAGTCAGATCAGGGTGCAACATGTACTTTCCGACGACAACCTTTCAGGTACTGGAAGTTACTGATGGATCTGCGGATCCACAGTGGAACTTGGCAAGAGAAAACGCCTTAATAAATCTGGCGGGGATCGCTTCCGACACCGGAGATAAAGACGCCGCTGTGGCTGCGTATCAGACCATTTTAAGGCAAGTGATGGGAAAACGTGCTGTGTTGAAGTCGGAACGGGAGACACGAAAGGGAGACACGAAAATGTACTTTTTCTCACGTTTGTGACGGCCACCCCATCGAGCCATTCTATGTATAACGGGTCCCCTCCCCACGTTCGTAAGTTGATGCTCACGAGATCCCGCTACGAATTCGAATCACCTGTCCTGTATTCTATAGCGTGGCTCGCTCTCTGAGCTGAGAGCATGGTGTCTGGGTATATGATCCCACCAACAGAGGGGAGCACGTCGTGGCGATCCACGTTTGATGCATGCACTGCCTATCTATCGAGTCAGCGACGTGACATGCTCCTCCCTGGCGATGTTGGCGCATGGGTCGTCATAATCAGGACTGTGGCCACATGATTACCCTCCCTGGTCGTGCTGCTGTGATTTTCTCCAGAAAACAGCACCCGCCATCGGGCATTGTTCTCAACAACCTGGGTGCGATTTTGCTGTCCATGGGGCGGGATGGAGAGGGTCTGGAGTACCTTGACCAGGCGAGTCTGTCACCACACAGCTGGGGGCCCCAAAGGGATCCTCTTCAACGTTTTTTGCTAACCGTTGATATGGCCGTCTCGTGCGGGAGATCAAGACGGTATTGGACATAATTTCGACCACATTACCGACAGCAACAACAACAGCGATGCCCGTCGGACGTCAGAATCCCGGAAGGACTTGTCGAGAAATGGCTGGATGTGTTTGCACGTCCGTTCGGTGAATCAAAAACAGGCCTTAGCGTTAGACCCAGCAACCCCAGGACCACTTATGAACGCCGCGCTTCAGAGGTCGGAAAGCGGGAACCTTGTCCAGGCGCGGGAGCTGTACTCAAGGCAAGTTGTCCCTACTTAAAGTCTCGTGTATGTGGGGCTTCGATCTCAGCGAGCAACAGTAATGAGACTTGTCCAGCATCAGTGTCTTGACATGCGTGTCTGGTTCTCTTGACTCTTGCCGCAATGTTCCGATGAATTGCAGCTTGGTCGAGTCCACAACTACGCAACGAAACCATATACCAGGAAAAACCATTGCACATGCTCATTGACTTATCCTACGGATCCATCAACGCACCATGGCACGGCAGTATTGCGTTGGGTGGTGTCTTTCGACTTAGCTTGTCGACCACCAGCTGGCTCGAGGTATTAACGTGTTCGCGGGAGGGGTAATAGGTTCGAACAGGTTGAAAGCGTCACGTTCAGATGCAGGAGACGCTGTAGTGACCTGCCTCGTGACACTACTGTTGGAGCAACAACACCGTTTACAGTATTTCTGTACTGATGGTGTTCTATCTTGCTGCTGCCGGGCTTACTTGCTCACAGGGCGTACGACCTCACCGGAGACGGCGGTGTGTTGATTCGGATGGCCCTCATGATGTCCCCGGTGGCCGCTAGCACGGAACGGCTGCTCGAAGAACGGGCTAGTGTCCTCCAAGAGGTCCGTGCATGATGACCCTGTTACGTTTTCAACGACGTTTCTACGACTTTAAGAGGACGTCATCGCACGCAGCAGAAGCGGAAGGAGAAACCATAGACAAATCGAACGAAGCTAGCAACAATAGTTTCATCACCACGGGTCCACCGAACCGTAATAACGTGAGCAAATGTAACGTGGTCTACAGCGTTGTGTATCTGGTAGTGGGGCATATCGTGCCGGACACGGTTATTGGCTATGCCTAATGCCGACGCAACCGGCTTGCGGTGGAAAACATACCAGGTCCTTCGGCTGACGGACCTCCAGCGAAGAGGCATGCTATCCGTAGCTTCCCCCGGGAAGGAGCTCGAACGGGCACCTTTCCTGGTTGTATACGCGGGAAACAACCAGAGGAAGACAATGGAGGCCATAGCCAGGTGAGCTCGGTCATCCTTACCCAAAGCCAGTTCCTTCTTACCTTCAGCCTAACTTTAACCCACCACCAGCAACTTCGAGGGCGGTTATCCAAGGTTTGCCATGTTGTCAAGAATCGATTATTTTGTCTTTGCTTATTTGTGAACCATGTAGCGAGCTCAATTCTCTGGCTTTTGAAAATATGATCTTTGCATCAGGAGACCAAACCGTTCACTCTGATCCAAAGCAGGGTGGTGGCAAGGATTCTGCTGTCGAGATCGGGATAGACATCGGAGCCATGAGTTTTCTACGTGCGCCTAGGTAACCTTGCTCTTCGATAGAAAAACCCTCCGTGGCATCAGCCCCACTGGGAGCTACTGCCCACCTGTTTGATTCAGTGGCTGCCGATACACGACACAGTTATTTCTCGTGTGGAGAGGCGCGCGCGCACGCTTTCATACCTTTCGTGTGGAAAGTAGTTCAGGCGTGTGCAGTTTGTTGTCACCGCGGGACGGCTACCTTCCATGGCGTTATCGTAAGAATTGACAGACTTCCGAGACACCTACAAGTTCGTTCCGTCCCTGGAGTATTGCCACTGTCCTTGCTTCATTCGATTAGGTTGGTATCGGCGCATGGGTACATATCGCACCCATTTATCCTACAATCTGAAAAACAACAACATAGAGTCGTTACGCCGAAGAATACACTCTCTTCAAAGATTGCCTTTCTCCAACAGAGAACCTACATCAAAAGGATTGACACAAGCACCTCTACAATACCCCCAACGTTTCCTGGCCATTTATGCGGAGAACAACCTGATACGTACACCAGAGGTCAGATAGTCAGCAGCACATGGCACCAGGTCAGCTCCTTGTAGAACATCCCTATGTATAGTAATGATTTTTTCGTCCACACAGCAGTAACGTTTTCTGTCGGAAAGTGCCCCTGCATTCATACCACAGCATTGCTACCGCACGCATGTCGTACTCAGTGAACCATGCTGTTGTCTGCTTTGTTGTCGCCACGCAGAATGCATGCTGCCATCGCCCCCGGTCTGCTGGCCGTGGCGGGTGGTCTTCATGAGGAAGAGGAGCGGAGCATAGCGTCGCGTTTGCATTCTGCAGGGCGGCCATACGACAGTGAAAATAATGTCCAACGCAGCAGCCCCGGTTTTGGACTCAACAAGCAACACCAGGACGTTGTCCGTCCCATTCATGTCGGTTTTATTTCGAAGCTCTTTGGGGAAATGGTGAGGAACGACAGATTGTTTCTGTGCTTCCGTCGATTGCTTTGATGCCACACCAAAACCTCGCCTATAGCTCTGCAAAGGGTAATCTAGCTTGCCGTGGGCTGTTCAGAACGTTTGGCACCTGCGATAGATACCTTACACGGCGACAATTTTCGAAATTGTTGTTATCTACTGGTTGTCCGTGTGCTACTTACCGATGCATGCATACGCCGGTCGCCCCGGTGGTCTAGTTATCCCCCCTAGAAACCTTCTAGAGGTCAGGTCCGGGGTTCGAATCCCGGCGTAAGCGAGCTTTTCTTGCAAAGTGAGTTTTTCTCTCGCTTCCGCTCCTGGCCTAGTGGATAGCGCTAGTTCGTGTGTACACAGAGGAAAGAGAGTGCTGAACTCTTCTCGCATTAAAAATCGTAGGCAAAGTACCGCAGGAGGGGAGGGTAGAGAGGAGCTCTTCTGTGTGACCACGGGTTGGAGTAAACGGCACTAGTGCTGTGACCGCTGATTTGATGTGAAGACAAAAAAAAAAAAAAAGAAGAAAAAAAAACGCAGAAAAGGGGGGACGCGTGAGGCGAAGCGGTTGGACTGCTTGATGAACTACCGAAGCCAGGACGTGGCGTTTTGCTTTTCTCATCTCGTTGGGTGTCTCATCGAGTTGGCATTTTTTTCTACTGCGTCGGCCCTACGATCGCAGGAGCCTCACGGCATGCTGCTGGAGGGCGTGATTTTACACCTCCCGAGACCGCGTTTTCGCATCACTGTTTGTGCGATTGGAGGACAGCCGTCCTCTAGTCTGCGGACTGGTGCAGACAAAGTAGTGACCTTGTCAAACACGGTGGCCGGGGCTAGGATTGCCCTGGAAGAATTGAAGTGAGTGTGCCAAGAGGCAGAAAAGGCTAAAACTGTTTGCTGTTAGCTGTCGTTGCTCTCAGGGAGCTTGCCTGATTCGTTCGGGAACTCGTAAGAAATCGAGCTGGAAGGCGAAAATGTGCGCCGTAAAGCGTACTGCACCACGGCAGAAACCACAACAGACCAACAGGGGTGGTTGTAAGCTCTTGTACACGTATGTCAACAACAAGGTGACATGAACGGTTCAATATTTGCGGCCTAGGTTGCCCGAGATGTTGCGTGTCGCTCAACAGTTGTGCGCTTTTTGGAAGGTGCACTGAAACTGTGCGTCGAACTAAGAACATTTGGAGAAGTCAGCTTGATAGAAATTCTGCGCCGGGTTCCTTCCCGTAAACGCGCGGAATGGTCAACGGAACAGGAAGGTGACATTCACGTCCAGATAACTTTACGTGAGATCTTGGTCCGCATCTTTGGCAGAATCACCGTGCCACGCCCCTCTGCATGAAGCTATACACGGTAATGTCTACGTTACAGGCTCGATGTGCTCATTTTTGCGGACACAACCTGCGAGCCGGTATCTCACTTTCTGGCGCTGGGCCGTGTGGCCCCGATACAGGCCGCATTCTGGGGCACCCCAATCACTACCGGTGAGTGCTTTCCACGCACTTGTGAGAAACCAATATTGTCGTCAAACCTGCTGCCGTTCACGATTACCCTCGCGCAATCCCCAATGTCCCGCTCATAGGCGCCACGGCACCGAGCGTTTGGTGGTTTAACTAGTCCTGATGCGAATCGGGCCTGACGATGCGGGCCTGTTTCTTCTATGAATGATGATTGCATTACATGCAACTGGAGTACTACATGCCTTCGCGAAACGCTCCAGGTGGCCATTCATCAAACATTCTACTGTAGTACGAAAGTCTCGGAAACGTCACCAGCGTGATAGGTTCCCTATCTTACACGAGATAAGAGAAGTGACATGGGACCCCATGGTAGAGTCCCATGACGAGATGCCATGGGAGCTGTGTGGCCTAAGTATCCCATTTGACCAGGGACACTCCTAGTTGTCTACAATAGATTATGGGGGTTCCCGCGTGGAACCTCCGAGATCGTTGTCCGTCGGAATTACGCACATGCGAAACTGGTCTGGTAGGGCATCGTGGGGGTTCTTTAGTATCCTGGTAGCCCATGTACGTAGGTTTCACCGATTACCCTGACATCCCACGGTACTAGAAAGGAGCTGCCGCCTGGGCTGGTTGGTCCCACAGAATGTTAGATAGGATCCCATGGGGTTTCAGGCGCAACGTAAGACATGACCTCAAATCGCGCCTGTCTCTCTCCTCATCTGGTGCGAAAAAAAACGTACTGGGGGCAACGTTCACGCCTTACTTCCCAGTTCAGTTGTTGGCACAAACATCGCGAGCTCCACCGCTGCAGTACAGTGGACGCGTACACTTCCTCGCGAAAGGCAGAGATCTGAGATTCCGTACAATTGGTTACCTACATGACTCTCCCTGCGATTCCTGGAGTCTTGAGTCCAACCTTACGCCTGCCAGAGAGACCCCCCTCACTCACCTGGACATGGTCGTGGAAAGTCTCTTTCTATGACACTTGGAGGAGAGAGGAGTTCAACTTCATCACGGGGGAGTAAGCGTTCTTCAACATACTGCGTGCCCTCGGATTTTGTTCAGCGAATACCCAAGCTCGTTTGCCTGCAACATACCTCGGAACCAGGGAGCCCCAACATCGACTACTTCCTCTCTGCCGATGTGATGGAGCACCCCGACCGAACGACAATGCTGCCTGACGACGATCCCTATTCCGAACAGGTACGATATGTTAGTGTTGGACGCGAGAAGAGGTGGCGAAGGGGTCTGTGTTTGTCTTGTGGGGCCCAAGACCCTTTCATCCTTGTGGATACGGCACGAGGGGTGTCGCTTTTTTTCCAACTAGGCCGCCAGGCACTACGCTGAGCGTAATGAACCGACGTGTTGTGCGAATCGCGTAAATGGGGTGCTAGCTGTCTTCAATATTTTATATGGAGGCAGGTGTGAGCCCTTTGTGATCATATCCAGCGATGACAGCCTCGCACGGCCTTGGTTTTTCGTGATGCAGTAGACTTTCCAGAGACGCCTACATTGAGAAACTGGTGGGTGTCTACCAATAGCATGCCTTATTTCGGGAAGCCCTTCTTTCCCGCGTACTGATCGCCAGAAGGAATAGTCACACATTATCTTAGAGGAGGGGGTACATTCAATCATTTCTGCAACAGGTTATCGCGGGTTGAAGCTCACATACCATCACGGCTGGATGATGACTTGAACGGTGTCATTCCGCAGCACCCTACCAATAGCGTGCCAAACATCAGGGTTGATACGTGCGTTGTCTCGGTATCGAAAGGTTTGGCCGCACCTCTTGAAGTATTTACAGTTTCAGTCAGGATGACGGAGGGGCGGTGCCGTGTGGTTTTGGGGTAAATCTTGCACCGACCAGCAATATAACCCTCCAGCTGAACACGTATTCGCCCACTCTTACTTAGCTGAACGTTGACGGAGGTCACACAGAGTGCCCAGAATACGATGCGATCTACCGCGTGGCATGCCGCAGAGGGTCCCGTTCGCCCATGAACTCCTTTCTTCCGTCGTCCCCCTGGTCGACATATCCTGCCATGATCCACAGGTGGTGCTATTCGGTGGACAAGGTATTTGGTATCCTACTCCTGTTCTCCCGTCAGAACTGGCCCCACCACCAAGACCCCAAACATCTAGTGGCGCTGCAAGCACCACGGCAGTGCTACCAACGCCGCAAGCCCCAATACCAGCGCCAGAGACGGCGTCCTGGTCTGCTTCGCGTGACACTATCACGGCGAAGGGAGGGGTTTCAGCAGCGGAGATGGAGTCGTCATGGGGTGGACCAGCAAGCGACCGGGCTCTCGAGACATACCATGCTGCCCCAACGCGTGCGTCGAGAGAGCGGGCAAGATCCGTCCTTCGTGCCGAGCTGAAGAACCGGATCGGGATCGACCAAAACAGGTATAGGGCGAAGTGGAAGTAAATGGGTGCTATGCACGTTTCGCAACAGTCGAAGCCCACTCCCCCCGAGCACCCTACTAACGAGGTGATGTCGGACCAGCTGGTATACGTGGATAAACGCCCCTCCCTGCACTGTGTCAACGGCAAACCCACTTTTGCGGTACCTTTGGATTTCTCCTCTTCCTCCGCATGAAACTTAACCATGGTAACCAGGGAGCCTGGTGTCGGCAACACCGATTCCGATCGATTACTATTGCTGATATTACGAGTCCGATGCAAAGCGGTCGATGATCACCACCCGGCAAGTATCAACAGTCTTACTCCGAGATTTAACTGCAGCAGCCTTGAAGGGAAAACCGACTCGGGCGATCTCAGAACTATTGCAGGATTAAGTCAAACATATGTCGCGGCCTACAAACGAGAGCTAGATAGTCACTCCAAGATCGCACACGGTTGCTCTTCACGTCAAGAGGCATTGACCAACTGAACGGTGTCCCAATGAGCATACGTTTCGCTTTTCGAGTGTTTGGGGTTTGCGTGCTGGTCGCCACGTGAAAAGAGTACCTGAAGTGCGTGTACAACGCTGATAAGCAAGGAACAGCCATTAACTAGGTCAAGCTTTGTGCCAAATACAAAACGGAATCTGGAAAATCGCAGCGAGCAATAACGCTGGTACATACAGCACGCTGCCTGGACAAGGCCGTTATTCAAGAAGACGTGATGAAACCTCCCTGTCGCGTGTTTTCTTCATTTCTCTCCTTCGTGAACGCACGGCAGGGTGACAAGAAGTCAAAACAGGCGAAATGAACGATCCCAACGGACCAACTCCGCAAACCTCCTTTCGCGCTCCTCTGTAGGTGAAGGTTAGATCAGCAATTTGGGAATGCTGGAATTGTTCTACGTTCTAACTGAGACACGTGAATAATGGTGAATACTGAGGCCCTAGGCAAAAGGACAACTAGTCACGCCAGTTTCGCCCTCCCTCGCATGTCGACTTCACTCTTCGGTCCAGTGTGGTGTATATGTGCGCCCAGAGTTTGTTCAAGCTGCATCCCGACTTCGACTTAGCGGTTAAGGGCGTGCTAGAAGCATCAGGTTCGAATCACCTGGTTTTCACGGCGGGTAGGCGGCAACAATGGACATCGATTTTTCAAGCGAGGCTAACTTCGACGCTCGGAGACGATGTTATGACGAGGGTGAGATGCAGTTGCCATGCATTCCCGTTCGGCGCAAAATAGTTTATTGGAGCTTTCACAACAGTAGCGGTGCATCGTATGCTTAGCAGACTGTGTGAGCACGCTTGTGCGCCTGGAGACCTTAAAATCAGCTCATAGCGTGGTGTAGATTCGTGCAGGCCATAATTTTTATACCGCTACAAAAGTCCCCACGAATATGACGAGATTCCACAACGCCATGTCAGCACCAACCGTGTTCGCTCACCTACCGGCCATCTTTCCCTCGGATTGTTCTAACACTTTATTTTGACCACCTATCTCTCTGCCTGCCTGAATGGTACCCCCACCTGAATTGTACCCCCGCGCTTTGCACGAGGGTACCACGAGGTAACACAACAGCATGCGTACGGTGTTGGACACACAAAAATGTTCTCCACTGCTGTCCTGGCAAATCTGATTTTCCACATGTTCTGGCTTGGTGGTTCATATGTCGTGGATGGTTACGCACCAAAAAACGTGGCCTATGGTTGTTCTGTGGTGTGCGACGATGCGGTGTATCCTCAACCCGCGAGTCTGCTTGCCTGTTTGGCTGTACTACACGCAGGTGTTCTTTGTACCACGAACAGTATCTGGTGCAGCGTTTTCCTCCCTGCTCGCATCGGCCGACGTCGTGCTCCATCCCTTCCCTTTCGGCGGTTCGAAGACGTCGGCTGATGCACTCGCTGTTGGGGTGAGTTTGAGCAGCCAACCTCGTAAAATGGTTGCACGCGGTGTCCCGCAAAACGACCAGTACTTCAACGGTGAAGCAACGCACATCCGAGTAGGGTGCTACACTCCACAGCGCCCCATGTTCGGCGAACACCCAAGGGTAGTCCACCAGAGCATAGGTCCTCAAGCCAGTTGGTTCTTTTCCGCGAGCTCAGTGCCTTCTATCGCAGAACATGCTTGTCCGAAGAGTTCGCTCAGAGGTTCGAAAAAGATGGCTGCAGCACGAACTAGAACGTGCTGTAGGAGATATGCTTGTTGATGAAGCATACGCATCCCTGGTCCTTAGCGATCAACAAACAAGTCTACCTTTCTCTTGCACATTGACGAAAGTATCTCTGCGCGATACCTCTGATCTAGGTGCCAACAGTGTCCATGGCTGGAAAGTACGTGGCCGGACGCATGGCACAGAGCTTCTACAAGACCATGGGCATGCAACAAGTGTGCTGCGTTGCCACGGACGTTGTTAGGTGACACGTGGCATTAAGGGCGTTTTTGTCGTGATGCATAACATTGGAGTAAACGAGTTGCGAATCCATTGCCCTTTGGTTAAGCATTTCGTTTTGCTCGTGGATCATTGCAAGAGGATTGAACGCACCATGCTATCAGATTTGGGACGAACCGCATCGTACTTCGCCGAACCGCATCGCACCGTTCGAGCTCGCGCCCCATCCCGGTTGCAACATAATCCAAAACATTTTTCGAGCAGTGCGGCCTCGAAGACACGCCACTATTGTCTGCCCGAGACCCATGCGGCTTGTCACGCTTCCCAAAGGTTCATTGTCTACAACTCGATTTCGTAAACGCAATTCGGGTCTATTTCGGTGCACAGTCTAGGTATCATCGGAAACTCTCCAAATTCCATTCAGTCACCCGCGATGCCACCCACGGAATACCGATACGAAGCCACAGACGAAATTTACTCGTTCAAGCGTGAGAAAATCCTCAACAAGCAACGTTTTTGGTGGGTGTTGGTGGGAGCAATGAGCGGTCGAGGTTTCAGCCACACTTGGTTGATCGCACATTCGTGTTTGCCACTTTGTCGACACCGTTTTTTTCGCCCAATGATCCTTCGCTTTGATGCACATTCTGTCTCTCAGCTACGTGCAACTTGCTACGAAGCTCGGCCAGGAGTTAGGATTTCGCAAGCGTATCATCGATCTAATTGACCAGAGGCAGTGGGTCATCTGGGAGAGGAGGGACGAGGTAACTGACCTAGACTATCAAGAGTTTTCTTCTGTGGAAGGGCACTGAAAATCACCCCGTGCCAAGGGCTTGCAACACATGTTGCCAGAGCGAGTTTGGAATACGTCCATCGCCCTAGTCGACTCGGAATAACGGGAAGCGATCGACGGATAATTCGTTTTTGCCAGTCTATTGCAGGCCGACTTCAACCTGCTTGATATTATTGCGTAACGATCGAGCGGAGAAAAGCTCATTTCAAGAAGCGACCGATGTGAATATCTTGGCAGCCTGTCCTCCGCCGTTGCTACATGCAGGTTGTGCCTAGGATGTGCGCTGCAGCAGCGTGTGATGTCCACCCCCACAACGAATGTATGCACACCTTGGCGCATGCAAAGCAATACGGAGTAAAATTTTGGACGTATAGGAGGCTTGACTGCGGCACCCTACTCTCCTTTTCCACTCTTCTGAGACCCAGGTGTTTGAATGGGCTAGGTTTCTGGCAAGGCTCGGAGGAGTTTCTCCACCGACTCCACAGGAGGTAAGATGTGCTGACGGTCAAAAGTGAAACCGCGATACCCAAAGAGAAGGTGGCTATTGGCACTACTGCCTCCGTTTGGGACAGAAAACAATCAAGGATGAAGACAGAATGTCGGATATTGATAGGTTTGTTGACCGGACATCCTCGTCTTCGTTCGATACGGGGATGATCTTGTCATCAATCGATGTAGCACATGCATTTTGGCTGCATACCTGGGCATTGATGAGCGAAACGTAGCCAATATTCCTCCCTCGTTTGCGAAACGTTTCGTGTGTCTCGTTCATCGTGCACCTCCCAACATACTACCAACAGGTAGGGCTCTCGCCAACACCTGATCACGTGCGGCCTCCATTCCCCTCAAGGTCCGAACCGTCATACGCTCAGTCATGACAGTTCAGGGATCCCACTCCCCTTTGATGGTATTGAGACGGGTCGGAGTTTCAATCATTTCTGTGTCAAATGTGACCGAGGCTATGAGTCGTTTGGAGTACGCGCTTCTCTGGTTCGAGGTTGAAGTATGTACAAATGTGTGGTATCGAGGTGCCCTTTACCCAAGGTTCGTCTGCAGGCAGTGAAGCCTTGCAGTTCCAGACAGAAGTCTGAAGTGATGTTCAGACGAAGTCTGTTGAAGCAGTGACCGAAGTCGATCTGTCGATCTTGTTGCTAAATGCCGCTTCTGGGGCTTGTACTTGTTTTCAGTCTTGTTCTCTTCACAGCTTACTTTCAGAATTGAGATGTTGAGGGATAGTTGGGTGTGAGCCTGGTGCGGCTCGCAACACCTCGGGATTTCGCTACAATTACACTATCATCTGATCAACAATCAATTCATTCGCGAACTCCTCCCTAAACTCGTCGCTACGTGTCACGTTGTACCAAACGTCACTTATCTCATCGCATCAACGTACCGTTGCATACAGCTGCATCTACATCCCTACACACATCCTGCAGCAGTAATGCGCTGTAGTGCAACACGCCCCCATGATGGATGCAATGTCACGTGTGCTTCAACAACCTCATCGTTGTTCAAAAACTACCACACAAATCCTGCAAGTCTGTATGTACCCCCTTCATTTGTACTCCTGCATTATACACGCCCGCAAAATCCGGTGTACGTATTGTTCGTGCTTAACAACTGTCTGTTCAGCTGCTATTCTTCTCTTTACTTAAGAAACAATTTCTTTTTCATTTGTTTAACAATTTTCGCCGCTGACTCAACCATTCCACCTAACTTATCCGCCACCAGATTCTTACACTTGGTTTCAGCGACACTGATTGTTGTTTGTTGCAACTATTGTGTTGCTTGTTCCAATTCCAAGCAGGTTGACATCTTGCCATTCCACGTAGGTTGACATCTTGTCATTTAGTCTACTTGTACCTGTACTTGCTCCCACCTCCTTATGGTTAGCATAATAATACTTACTTGTAATCAGATACCAGATCCTTACAATAAAATTGCCCATGTTGTTGACAAAGCTTTATTATCTCTCCGTGACGTCCATAAATCTCATCATAATTTGGACATGGCTTAGAATTTTGCCACTGTTTGCTTGTCCACGTTGTGCTAATCATTCTGAATCCTCCGGCTGCAAACATCACTTGTGTGGTGAGCATTTTGGAATTCCTCGTACCACTTCATCGAACGTTGAGTCTGCTACTACTGTACTGTATCTTGACACGATCCAAGGATTCTTGGTATTGTCTCTGTCTTCTAATAAGTAAACCTCGACTTCACGGTCAACAAGGGAAAGGGACGGCTTAGTTCTTCTCGGGACATAAATCAAGGCAAGCACTGAGCAAAGAACGGAGAAAAATATGCTTCGTGGTCGCGGGGCCTTCTATTTTTACCCCAGCCATGTGCCGAGAAATTGCGGTGTGAAGCACCCTCGGGACCTGTTCGATTACGCCACGATGAAAAACATGCACAAGCGAACGATACGTTTTCGGAAAGATCTCGACAAGGCGGCTTCAACGCCACCGTGTTCTGCGCTGCGACTCTCTCTCTGCTGTTGAGAAAGCGAGCTTTAAAAATCGGTCCAGGAGGTGTGTTATCTTGTGTCGTATTCATTCGAGTCTGGTCTAAATAGACTACATTGTACAGAGACGGTGGAACAACAGCAAATCAGAATCTGGACCGGGGCTCGATCAGAATTCCTCTGGTGGTGACGCTTGATCCCGTACTAACCGCTAGACCCAGAATCACGAGGGAGCACCCCGCATTCGTGCGTGTACGTAGCTGAAAGCGACAGCAACAACAATCGTCAGACAGACATCCATTATGATTTGTTTGTCGCATTATCAGGTTCGGATATCGGTTCGGTAGAACGCGCGGGGCAACTTGATGGCGGGGGCCGAGGAGAATTTAAGAATTGCCGGTAATGCAGAAAAACGAGATCCGTGGGGAGGACAGGGCAGCTAACGAAGTTCGCTTAAAGCTAGAGGCAATGCCTTCTGCTGGGAGACCACAGACGAGGAAAAGGGGCAGAAATTGCGTCCCGAAGTTTGTCGTTGCTCTGCTGGCACCTGCTGACCTATCCGTTGCCTTTCGTGGTGCAAGTACCAACAAACAAGATGGCAGTGGTGTCGCTGGAGCTGGTGCTGTGCGTTGTCGAGTGGCTGTATGCTTGTCTGGGGCCGTCAGATCGTTCGTACACCCTGCAGTACACAGATCCATCAAGAGAAATCTGATCGAGTCGATCGAGGCGGACGGATGTGCAGTGGATGTGTTCGCCTACGCCACGCGAGAAGACAAGGTGCCGAGACACAAACAGGTAACACCCTACCCGGTTCTGTTATCTACACTACAGAGTACAAGTTGTGCTTTCTTTTTACAAGCTGCCGCTACGTCCTCCTATAGTACGTGACGCACGCTATGTTAAGGGCAGGTAAACCGTGTGCACAAGCTGTAGCTCCTGAGGGACCAGTCAAACGAGTAGAGATACATGCCGCATCGACGCGCTTACGAAAAGGCGAACGGCTCTCAACGCCTGTATTTCACGCCGTACGCTGCAGAGGGAGAACTCAGATTTCACGCCGAATTCATCCGACATCGAGACGGCCATGGCAATCCTAGCGCCGGCCAGGCTTGTTTGGCACCAAGAACAGGCCGGCATCATCCCCAGCTGTCGCGCTCAAGCAACGTCATCAGCTGAAAGTGGCGGAGATGAGGCATGGTACACGACGGAAGCAGTTTCTGGCGAAGATGCCAGCGGTGTCGGCAACGGTGTTTGGAGGCCGCCACCATGGCAGGTGTGAAGTCGCGCAGGGTGTTATGAAACAATCGGAGGATGTTTCTATGCACCTTTTGCACAGGCTCCATGAACACCTGGAGTCTACACATGTTTCGTTGGTCGGCACCAGCGCGTCTTCGGGGCAAATAAAACATGTGAAGCAATTAACGCATTCCTACAGTAGCACACAATCCACCCTTCCTTGTTGCCAGGTTTACAGAGCCGATGCTAGTCGAAACCTCTACTGGCAATTGTACAAGTCGCTTGCGGCCTACCGCATGGCACTTCGGGAAGAGAAGCGAAAAGGAAACGGTTTTTCATACGACTGGATCATTCGGAGTCGATTCGATGTGGCCTGGATCCGTCCCCTTCCAGCGCTACGTTCGTTTTCTCCGGAAGCGGTATGGCTTGGCCGCCACTATTGGTGAGGGTAGGTGCAACTATATGGTGAGGGTAGGTGCAACTATAGTATTTCCGCAGCAATTTCTTGCTGATACCCCTCGAGCTTTTGACAGACGGAAACAAATCGCTTCCACCTCTGATCGAACACGTTGGATGGTGCCGAGTGATCCTAGACAGCCGTAGCCACCCACCAGCGGGATCGCACCATCCCTTGCTCCTCAAGGTCCCATGTTTGGCCATGAATTCCCTGATCTTACCGTTTTGGGCAGCAAAACAACGCGTATGAAAAGAAAAAATAATACCAATCGTTTGTCAGAAGGCGGACTAGCATCGTGTAGAGAAGCCAGGTTCTAGGCCTACCCGCTTACAATCTTCCCTTCTTCCCCCCACGCGGCCCCTTCCGTCCCCTCCTCATTGCCGCGGCTTACAAGTTAGGCCAATATCAGACCACTTCGCCCTGGTACCGCGTGCTTTCTCAGACCGATTTTTTACGGCCGTAAAGACCTTCTACACTTGTGACGGTCAGTCATGGCCACCAACGGTATCGTGGTGGCAACCTGAGTGTTCTGGGGGCTTCGACGAGAGCGTTCTTTTTCGGCACCTCCACACCTCAAACATACCGTTTCGGTACTACTTCAACTTCGAGTACATCATCACGCGAGGGGAGCTTGGTGGGAAGTGCCACCTAGGGGAAACATTGCACTCCGAATCATGCAGCATTTTGAAGCTTTGGAATGCGTTCCAGACGTCATATGACAGGTGATCAATCGCGGTTCACTCTCTCTTTCGTCAGCACATTTCGTATCGATCATTCAGGAAAAGATTGTTCATGGGACACCTGCGTCCAACACGTGGGTGCACTTGTGTTCTTTTGTCACCCGATGAATGCATCCTATACCCCGAGCAAGGTCCTACAAACGCGCGTGTGCTACCTTCCTGGCATCACCTCCGTTTGCCTACCCCCCCACTCCAAAAACAGGGAAGACTGCATAGAGGCACTCGCGGAATGGGCAAACCTCCGTTGCCGGGCTCTCCTACCTGCCGAGGGGATGAGCGACCCTCGCAGGACACAAGCAGTCCTCGACCCACATCCTCGAGCATGGCAAGCATTAATCGCAAGCCAACCTCTCGAACCTACTTTTCTGGCGAAGTCGTCGCCAACAACAGCGGCAGAAGCAGCCGCGACAGAAAGTGCACGGCCCACGTTGGAAGAGGCTTCGTTCGCCGGAGGCTCTGTTAGGCCCACCTCCGTTCCCCACGTTGGTGAAGTGAACCGTGCCAGGTTGAAGCTGGTCGACCTCAAGGACGCAGTGGTGATGCCCCCACGCTCGCATCTGCCTGAAGAAGATGTCGAGAGGGATCCATCGGGCGGCTTCATGGCTTGGGATGGAAGGAACTCGCTCCCGTTATGGTCGATATATTCGCATAATCAATGCCCTCTTACAGAGGTGAGGTGGAGACTCTAGGTTTTGCGTTCTCACGCTCCTGCCCGAGTCCAGATACCCATGTTTGCATCTGTGTTCCCTACTGAGCGAGGCGCATAATTGGCACCCCCGGGCAAAGATTAAACAAGCGGGTAGGCCCGTGGTGGGAGGGAAAAAGAAGAACGAGGGGCGCAAGCGAAACCCAAACAATGACCGGCAGGCTGTGTGACGCATAACAAATCGGTGTGCTGATGAGTAGTCGCAGAGAGTTGTAGGTCATTTCTCAGGTTCATCACAGCATGGAGCACTTGTTTAGGGGAAACATACAGGGGACAAAACAGTTACCGAAAACTGTTCCCGTTTAGCGTCAACTCATGCGCTCGCCATATGCCATCAACACCTGCAGACACTCCACTCAGAGAAATCGGGTGCCTTAGTCGTTCCGCCCTCCCCCCTGCCCGTTGTATACTGTATACTCCACCCAATCGTCCACAGAAGCACAAGGGTCTGGTCCCGCACGTCGTGTTGTACTACACCATGGGAGCATCCCTCGTTCGAGAACTAGCACACGCTATCAGGTGCTTCGTGCATCACGAGATTGAAACAACGTCGGAGAATATTCCAATGGCTGACTTCCACGGAAAGTCGTGCGAAGGCACCAGGTGAACAGGATCGAAATCTGATTGTTGGTGAAAACATCCAGAGAGTAGCCCCATTGGTTGCGCCTCGTTCACGACGGGTGACCCATACATGTCACGTGGAACGCAAGCATAGACTCTGATCTTCGTCTTGGTCATGCTAAAACGTGCTTGGTGAAGGTTCCACATGAACGAGGCTATAAACAAGCGTGCCCAATACTTTGTTAAGCATGCGAATTGCAAATATGCTGTAGTGGACCAGTCCCGCGACAAAACAAAACACTAAGCCTTACCATCTACTCCGCCCCGCCACGTGGGGTATTAATGTCGGACGCTGGGGGAATATCCGGCATACACGATGGCACCCTTTTGTCGCCCCGCCGCCGGTGATCGGGACGATCTGAACGGAAGGGCGCTGGAGCTCGTGATGATTGACGTGTCTCTCCACATAGAGGAGGTAAGTCAGCACTTTGTCAGGTGGCTGGCCAACTCCGGTGCTTGAATGTTGGTCGACAATCACACTAAATACAAGTGAACCAAAAGACTGGTCAAGATACTGGAAAAGGACACACTGGGCCATCACACAAAAGAAATGTATTGACGCGAAGAGCACATCCAATGTTGATGGCCTAATCCAAAAATATTGTCGATGCCACCATGCTGCAGGCACTCTGACCCATCAACGGTAGATGGAAGTCTTCTATGTAACCTTCTGCCTCTCCTAACTTTCTTGAAACGGTAACCGTCGTTGCCTTTCTGTTCCTAGTTGGGTATCTGCACTGCTGACGGCAGCCTTGGATTGAGCGCGTACGAAAACGTTGAGCGTTTCTTCAGGGAACCCGCTACACACTGCATACAATATGCAAGACTGGGCAACGAATGAACCGTCATTCAACCTATCCCGTTGTGGAGACGGCATCGTACGATGGCTTGCAATCAGGCAGCAGGCGCGGATTAGCACGAATACACGGTGATCGATGATGAGATGATCCGAGATAGCGTTGAAGGTTGGTTTTATTCACCGTACCATCGTGGACCCTAGAGCCCTTCAAAGGCGCCTCACCAGCAAGCTCTGTTAGAAGCTGCACCATATTCGGCCACCTCCCGAACTTGTATCCAGGCACGGCTCTCACACGCCGATGTAGTTGGGCTATTCTACAAGTTCGGGCGACTGACTGGCGAATCCGGTCGAAGCAGAACACGGCGCCTGAAACGTTCTTCTATTTTCACTTCCAATGTTTGTTAGATCCACTAGTCAGACGCTGAGTTTTCTAGGGACTCCGCTCATCCTTTTTCTATATGGGAAACCTGTTTCTGCTGCTGGGTTCGGGATGCCGAGATGAGGAACTTCACCTGTGTCGGAGGTGGGGCAGGGACGGATCCAAACGCTTTCATTGCTTTGATTGTTAGCGAAACGCATGGAACTATGCATTCAGCAATACACATGCTGGCGAACAGGAAGAAGAGGCCCCAAATTGCAGGAACTATTTCTCAACAGGCCTTCGGCGTTATCACGGGGTGATTCACCCATATGACCCATTTAGTTGCTCTGCAGCCTCATGCCGCATTTTGGGGGGAAGTAAACTTTGAGCACAGGCCCCCGATCTTGCCGACCTTTGTAGGAAATTTGGAAATAAGGCTTGCGTAGGTTGCCGTACACGGAGGCACACAAACGGGAACGCCCGGTGAGCGGGTTGTTGGCCCGTCATACGATTCGTTGAGGTGTATGCTAGAATGACCATCGTATGTATGCATACAAGATGACAAGATGTGCTAATCGTCAATGCTGCCGGGGTTGGGCGTCATTTATCTGCATGTCTACCGCACCCTGCACAACCAGTATAATTCCACAACAACCATAGGCTATAGGTGGAGTGAGAGAGTGAGACATAATTCTTTGAGAGTACGAAGAGACGCGAAGAACTGCACGACCATGTCGACAATGCGGGTTGCTGTTGGAGGCTTTTTTGGTGATGGTAGAGAAACGAAACGAACTTGTTAAGAGTGAAATCGAGTACGTTGTAGCCCCATCGAGGACGGATTGGAAAGGGCGGGGATATTAGAGACACTTCTAACTGGACGCGTTCAAATCGTGTAAACAGCATTTAACCGATCAATTCCTGGACTTCGTGCGACATTCCTTCGGAAGCGCTGGAGGGTTGACTTTGTCTGTTTGGAAAGATGTACGGGTTAGCTTCCTATGTTCGAGAGACACTACTTAACCAAGTTGACGTCTCCCAGTGTGTGTGTGGTATGCAGATATCTTGCTACGAATGATACGTCTGAAGCAACCTTCGAAATCGTCCGGTGCGCGCGAAAATGTGACGTAAGATGTAGAGCCAGACAAACGCAAGGGAGAATACCACAATCGGGTATAACAAGAATCTGAGAAACATTTTGATGGGTTACGCCACGAACCAAGCGAAAGACAAAAACAGGCGTACAACACCATTCCCGCGTATCGTGAACTAACACAACCAGGCTGCAACTTTTCCTACGTACCGATGCAGCACAGGAGAACGCGTTGCTCAAATCGGCTCCACACGTAAACCAACGTGGTACAATACATTGCGTACAACACGACGTCGACCACAATGCAAGCAGTACAAAAGAGAGTAACGCTGCCTTTCCCAGCAAAAACGAGGGTGCAGCCAACGGTGAAAATATTTGTTGCACCCAGCAACAACGTTTTGCTCAACTCAACTTTAGCGACAAGGAAGTTCTGGGACGAGAAATAAAACAAGGCACAAACAACAGAGACAAATCAATCAACGGCGATATCGTTGTCGTTGCCGTTGTCATCTAGGGACCAATTCCAAACAACGCCTTTTGTAGGAAAGAAAATGAGCGGGATACGCGCCCGCACACACAACCAACGTTTCATGTCGATCAGGCCGGTAGCGCAGTCTACCATGTGAAAATCACACCATCGCACGCACAATCAAGGCTACTCGCTATCGTCGTCATCCTCGTCGTGAGATACGACCCTCCTCATGCTGCCCCATGACATGCCCACTAGCATGTTGACGGTCAGCGGGCACTTGATGCCCAGCACCGCCGGAGCTTCCACCTCCATGCAGTCGGCCAGCAAACCCTGGAGAAACCAAGTTCGAGCGTTTAGTGCGACGGACTCCGCTGTTTGCTACAATAGCCGCGACACAACCAACAACAGCGTCAGTTTCACGTTGTTTTCTACCCATGCAATCTGCCAGCGACTCCTAGAATGAGACCGAAACGGAGAGAGGGTGCCAAGTCTACATGGGCAGTAGTGCCTGCCCACCGCACACATCTCTACCGGCCTTTGTGTCAACATCATGCACATTGTTGATACAACCACTGCCTGTAAAACCGTGTGTCGGACTGATGTCTTGCCACCAAAGTGTTCACCCCCCAACATGAACGATATCGGGTAGATGTACTGTGGGTCACCTGCAACTCCAAAACAGTCTCGGAAACTTCCGCCCACCGCTATTTCCAGGTCGAGGTCGGCACGTTGACATGCTGCGATCTGCACTGTACAATGCAAACACACAATACCCATGTGCCTAATTCTCGTATAAACAAGCAGCTGCTATTCTAAAATAATCCCAAGACACGCCGGGGCACATGAATGGAAGGAGTAGCCGGTAACTGAAAGAGGAGTGCGAGAACTAAGACGGAATACCTCTCGCCAATTGCGAGGGGAGAGCTGAAGGTAAAGACGGTGCATCGAGTCAAGCAACGACTTACCTTGAGTCTCTCCAGGTCTTCCTCACAGGCCGGGCACTCGAGAACAAGCTCGTCGTGGATCTAACGCTCCTCCCGACAAAACGTTGGAGTTGCGATGGCCGTCCACACACACCGTCATAGAAAAAGATAAACGTCACGGAGACTACACAGCAGCTGATCGTTCTTGCTCAAACGCTCTACTGTATGGTTCGAAAAATGCAGCAAAACTCTGATGATTCCGGGCAAACTCGGGCTTGGTTGTCGACAGAAACTCTACAAGAAGAAAACGGGATTGTGTTGATAGACGGAGTGTGTCATGTGTCATGCCCAATGCATATGCTCCGAGGAATAATGGCTAAGATGAGAACCGTAAAGACGGATGATTCGTTGGCGCAAGGTTGCAGTTGAAGAGAAAACGGCGTTCATATTTAGCGTGGATCCACCTGAAAAAAGGACACGCCAAAGAACTGATGACATGTGTTGAAACGGTGGAGGGCAAGAGGGAATAAAGGGCACCGCCTCCACAAACCAAGAAGACATAACATGAATCACACGGGGGCATGACCCTGGCCCGAAGACCTCCGCGGCAAATCCTGGGGATCGCCATATCCTAGGAACGTTCTGGTGTCACGAAAGCGTTAATTACTTCGTGAATAGGCGGTGGTATTCGCTTGCCGCACGTGGGCATGTCAGGGCGAATTCCTGACAAAAAGAGTAGTGCAGGACCCCAGGTAACCCCAAACGAAAACTTTGGGACCCTTGAATGATTGGTGCTCTTTGTACAGATGCGGTGCAGGATGCGAAGTACAAGTACTCCACCACAACGGGTCCTCTTGGTTGGGTTGAACCCTCAGTGATGGTGCGGAATGTCTTGCTCGCCCGAATAACAGACTGTTAAGTGTTTGCTACACCTGAAGGATGCATGACATGAACATACTCCGTGGTTTGGGTTGTCTCCTCGGCGTGTTGTTCGGTGACTTATGACTCATGTAGTTATCTCGGGAATGACACATATTTTTTCACACAGTGCTCGTCGGTTTATATACTTGAAAACTTTCCAGGATGCAATTCCCTGGCTTGATTTCATCGCCGCGCGCCGCACCTGCATGATGAGCCTGGGACAGTCAAGGCCCTCATCCAGGCTAGACCGCCAAGCATCGAGACGACGGGCCACCAGCACCATGGCTGTCTTCATGATGTCGGCCGCGGTACCCTGTGCATCCAACGAAAACAGTAAGCTGACCACGACCCCGAATGTCCGGACAAAATACCAGTCGGCAAAACCGCGCGCAGTATTTTACGCATACACGAACATGCAGACGGAGCATGCTGTTGGTGCTCTGGTCTGCCTAACACACGCTCCTTGCTACCTTTCAAAATTACTTTCAAAATAGGGAACCGACAGAGAACGCAACCAAACGACGTGTCAACACCAAACGCCTGAAACCCGCCGTTAACGGCCTGCCTCTCTCCGCGTTCACGTTTCGCGTTGTAGTAGCGTTCGACGTCCAAGCGGATCGTAGCATGTGCGCAACGATGCCCAGAAACAGACACGACACCACGAGCAGCGCAAACAGGAACACCACAAAGTGGAAGAAGGACGGCACACCTGGACAACGCTGTTGACTGCCTGCCTCTCCGCCTGCGCCTTGGCGGCCGCGTTGCGAGAGTTGTTGATCTCGGGCAGGTGTCGGCGCCGTCCCGTCAGGGTGCAAACGTAGCCGTTCTCCCTCGCGAACCTTTGGCCACAGATGAATAACAAAACGACCGATATCAATCGTCTTGTGTGTATGTACCTTCGCAACGCCAATCACAAAAATCAGCGCAGCTACAAAAAAACTCCCCGAGAATCTGTTATTCGTATCACTTCATTTTTCTCGCCCTTCGCAAAGAGTCCAGCTAACCTTCGCTGAGAGATTTGGTGTCTGCACGGTGTGCCGTACCTGCGTGTGGCGGCCATGAAGGGCTCGATCCCGGGAAAGGCTTTCAGGAATGACCGCACGAGCCCTTGGGCCTACAGGTGAAACAACAGTTTGTGCGGCGGAATCGGGAATTACTGAGAGGCACTCGTCGTTCTGCTGGCCATGGTGCACGTGCCGTAGACTATTTCGTGCCAGCAAACAGGCGTTATGGGTATGGCGGGGGCGGCATCAGCATTGAATTTCGGCTTTTGCTACTACAGGAACAGACCTTTCCCATTGATGATATTAGGTAATTCTTCATGGTCTGCGCCGAAAGAGCTAGGCAAAAGGCAGCACTCATCATCGTGTCTTCTAACTATTCGTCGACACACTAAAGGTTATCAGGCTACCAGATAGGATGCAATAGTCTAGGAACCAGTCCACAGTACCGAGTTGCTTTCGTCACATGAAAGCAGAAAAAGTCGATATACTACGTTGGTTTAGTGCGGGCGGCGCTAGAGCTCTCGTCGAGGCCACACAAGCCGGTTCCAAGTACTCACTCTACAAGACGCTTCACCACCTCACTTCATGCTCAAGAGAAACACTGTGCATGTCTACTCTACAGCGGGTTACGGCCACAAGGACGTAGTTTACAGCGTCCCGGCCACACTCGGTGTTTCCACCCCGACGTAAAAAGTCGCAGCAGCAGCCATTGAGCTATTATAGGTCGTTTGGATCATGGCGTTCCGGTGCCTGGGGTCAGACAATCATGCTGTTGTGACAATCATCAGGCAGTCCACGCCATCAAAACCGCTGTGGGGCGTTCACTATTGATGCAGATTATCGTGTTTTTTCCGGAAACCTGTTCCTTTTCGCTGCAACTCTCGGGTGTGGCGTTTCGCACAACTCATGACAACGAGCACCAAGAGCCAAGGACCGACAGCACCAAGAACAATTTCCCATCTGGGGGTCGGGCTCGTCCATGTACCACGAGATCGCGTACTCAAAGGAAGCCCACACTTGAACGGCCATAGAGGTCAGGCACGCGCACCCACCTGACTCTCGGTGATCTCTAGCTTTTTCGCCACCTGCGGGGTTCCCATACCTGCGATGTTTCAACAGCGAGAGTGCCCTTTAGTGAATGCACTGTAGTGGCATCAACTTCACGATGTAGTACTGGAACACAGCCTGATACTTGAGAGCGCGACCAATACTTCAATTTCCGGGCCATAGGAGGCGTCAACAACAGCGCAACGTAGGACGCATGTACAGGAGTCTACACTGCAATGGCAGAGATGAGCAGGCAAGACAAGAACGTTTGGCGGCGCGTATCGTGGCAACGTCGGATGATTTACGCGATCGATTGTGCGATCACTAGGTGTAAGATAGGGGTCTCGAGGTTTGTCCTCAGTATATCGAGAGGCCACGCACGTCGTGTAAAGAGAGAAGGGGAAAGTCGGAGATCGAATTTTTCAGTACGGGGTTGAACCAGATTCTTCAGAAAACCTCGGCGAGGGCCCAACTAGTAGACATTTCCGCCTGCTTCCGCATTGACTCTTCTTGCTGCTCGGGCATGGCATTGTACGGAGGGTATACAACCGCAGAAAAAGAACGAAACACGGTACCGAAGGAGAAGCGTTCTTGGACAGCGAATCAAGAGGACAACACAGATGCCCCTGATGCTAGTAGCTGCGTATTCCTAAACGGAGTAAGCTACATCTGATGCAACGACAACAAGCCCGAATCTCAACAACGAATCCCACTTCACGTTACCCCTCCCGGCAGGCCCGCGCAAAGATACTACCGGGCAAGCGGGCGAGAGCATGTGAGGGTCACTACCAACAATGATTCAAAGAAAACAACATAAAATAACGATTCTCTGCGCGGAAGGTTCACAAGCAACTGTTGTCAACACCATTGCCGGTCGCGCACCGTACGTGATTCCCAGGCAAACCACCTTGGCGCGATTCCGCTCCTCGTCGCTGACGCCGTGTTCCTCCTTGGCGAACACCTAGGAACGTTGTGTCATGACGTATTCACAGAACTTATTCTCCCGTAAAGTTCATCACGTTTGTCAAACTCATCATAGGCACGCTGAATTCCTTCCAGCCTAAAAAGAGGCAGAGGGCTAGCTAGCGTTGTAGACAATCTCTGTGGGCTCGAGCCTGAAAATTGGTTCTTCGCCCGGCTCCCCACTTCACATTTTCGAACTATTTCCTTGCCTCATTTAGTTATCCACGTTCTCCCTTTGGTCAAGTCATAGACAGTCATCTGGGGTCATACATCCAATGCTCAATGCCCCTCTCCCACAGACTCTCCATTCGGTGTGAAACTCCACCCACGTTCACCAGACATTCGAACAAAACATGGCCTCCTACGAGGTCCGAGATGATGGACTCGCGCACACCAGAGACTGCTCCCAAGCCTTGTCTCTGCACGCCTTAGGTATGGGAAACGGAAACGCTCACGTTCCAATACCGACCGCTGCTCACGTTCCAGTTGAAACGTCCCCAACATGCCTATCACTTGTGATTCTTCCTTGTGTCACATTGTCATTCTTGGAAATGCACGTGCATCCGCCGGAAATGAGGGGTGCGTCGTGTGTGACATTGCATAACAGAGTACTCTGAAGATACAAAGGAAGTTGGGAATGGACGTGTATACGACGCACTTGGGGGATTGCCCACCTCGCGTTCATAGAACAAATGTCCCGTCCTGTTCGTCAAACGACCCCAACACAACAACCCCACACCTGCGCAACAGAAGCAATACACGGGTGTAGAGTGATCCAACATGCCCAAACGCGCCGCATAGCTACGAACCAGAGAGAGGAGGGGGGGGGTGACAAGCGTCAAACTACAAGCATCAGTGGAATACGCTCCACGCACCTGCGCAGCCAGCTTTCTGTACACGTCGCCTCCACCAGTGCTAGCACCCGCGTCGTTCGTGCCCCCAAGAGTGGCGAAGAGGTTCCTCAACCCAGGGTCTCGGCAAGCGTCGGCGAGCACCCTCATCTTGTTTGGTAGCATTGGGGGGGGGGGGGGGGGGGGGGGGGCTTTAAAAAAGTTTTTTTTGGGGCCCCAAAGGGAACCCCGGGGGGGAAAAATGGGTTTTAACTACCCCATTTTCCCGGCCCCACCTTCTTTGAACCGGGAAAAGGGGAGCCCCCCCCCCCCTTTTTTT